CCCTCTTCACTCAGTTCCCTGAACTCACCTGAGTCGCCTGAACCTCAATATTGCTTGCCCATTGACCCTGCTTAACCCTACTTAACCCCTAAGATAGTAGACTGACTGCTTCTGGTAAATATAGATCTTAAAGTATCAGATCCCACAATTCACCAGTGCACAGGTTACCGATGCCTGGAACGGTCACTACAAGCTCAACACATTTGATGATAATGTTATCATTAGCCCTCTTACTGAGGTCAGTTTTCTGCGTGGGCTTTTCTGGCCACGGGAGCCAACAAACTCTAGCCTGCAGGCGCAGTGTTGCCGAGTTAGCCGTGCATGGAGAATATCAAACGCTTGACCTGAGCGAGATTCGGTATGAGAGGATCGCAGAGAACCGTCCTCCGGATGAGCGGTGATCTGAAACATAAGCAATCCTTGTATGTAATTTTCCCCGGTTGTATTAGTTCAAATAAGCAGTATTTGCTGGTCTTAGACCAATATTTGAGCAAAAGCAGCGCCTTGTGCAATTAAAGGAGGAAGGGTATACTTTGCGGCGTCCGTAGGTCGTGATATGATTGATTTCGAGTTGACATCTCGAAGGGAGTGTGCACCGGTACAGCTGGGTACATTGCTGACGCCGAGATTGCCGAGATCCTGAACGAGCCTGGCCGAGTCGCCCAGCACTTTGTCGACTCCAGCAGCAACAGTGACATTCTTGTCTATGATGACACGGAATGGGTCGGCTACATGCTGGGGTCTGGGAGGGACCACGGACTGGGTCACCGATTTGCAGAAATACCACAAGGTGCCTGCGCCCGCACAGAGCTGGGCCATGTTCATAGAACTCATCTACTCCGGCGAAGATCCCAAGGCAGACCACACGCGGAACAGTAACTGGACAGATATGGATTGCACCCGTCGTATAGCGCGGATATATGGAACCTGGGCACCATGGTATGACCTCGAGAATATAGTTGCACAAGTCACTAACAGTTCACTTCTGTAAAGCTATGGGAGCTTCTTGCAGATGATATTCTTTTCGATGGACTGGACTCTGGGAGCAGCACGTATTCTCGAGCAAAAGACATAGCACAAATGATACGGCTGCTTGGTCTGCCTCCACTGCAGTTACTAGAACGGGCAGACAAAGGCATTTGCTCTGAACTCTTCTCCAGCAACGGTATGATTTCTCTGCTTCTATATCTCTGGCGAGGACTAACTCTTGAGCTAGGAGAGTTCAAATTGCCAGGTCTAATCCCTTCCGAGGAGTTTAATTTTTCAAATCTTACACCATTTCTCCACGGGGAAGACAAAAGACTTTTCCTTGGATTTGTGAGTAAAATGCTGCGCTGGGAGCCAGAAGTACGGACAACAGTGACCCCTGGCTGAACTTCGCGCCTTAACCTGCTGAGGTTTTGTGGATCATGAAAAGATTCACAACAAGTGCTCGGAGGAGAGTTGGCATTCCCCACATGATTTCCTCCCAAGGCAGAACATTTAGATAATAGTGGGAAAGATTTTGTACGGAGACTCCTGTCTCATCAAGGCAGCTAAGGATGGGACGCCACTATAGCACTGTCAGGGTATTTTTACGGGCTTTATGATGTGGATTCCACGTTCAACGCCCTGGTATCCTTGTGAGGTTGAATCCGGTGCCTACTCTATTATCTATATATATGAAGCTGACCTGTAGACTTTTCTATTATCTTTAACTTCACCTGGATGAAATAGTTGTGAAGATAGGTGTTATGCTCATTTCTTTATCTACGCGCTAAGTTATTTCTTTATCTACGCGCTAAGTTATTTTAATGACCAGAAGATGGAGGATCCATTCATATATGCTACAATCCAAAACAGTTATTAATGCCTGTCAAAGAAACACAACTCTAAGTTGCAATGGGGCTTTCATACCATTATTAATCTGTGCAGAATTTGCTAACTTATCATCTGCTAATTGAACATGGTAGTGGATTAGTGGGTGGAAATAGTGGGTCTTCAGTCCTCATGTCAATTGGTTACAGTTGTTCAATGTGGACACTTCATTTTTTGAAAAGATACGTTGGGAGGATTTACGAACTCTGCCTATCGAGTTCGGTGAGACAGATCTCCAGGATTTCCATATTGCGCAGAAATATCGGGTTTAGAGCATTATGGTTGGATAGATATATGTAATCAAGCTCGCGTCATCTCCATCAATGCATATCATGGAAGTGTGTTCATAAGTAAATATGTCTTTGAAAGATAAAGCTTAAAGAATCAAGGCTAGCTACAGAGGACCAGCACAACATAAAATAGAAGGATAATATCACTGATATGTCTCTTGTTCAGCTCTATCTTAAATTAGTGATATAACCTCATAATGGGGGAGACATATTGCCAAATGAAGTAAATTAGGAGTTAGAGTTTTCTTAATACATACATAAATATCAATCCTTAAATCCTTAAATATAGGGTTAGTTAGTCACATAGAAGAAGGCAAATATCTTAGAATTCAAAGTTACTTTGGCATTGGCATAAAGAGGGTTAAAGATGAGATATCATATCCCAGTAAGTCAAATTAATGAGTCAACAACAACCTGCTAATCTATGCAAGTCAAATAACTTAGCACTTGATAAGGACAGAAAATTTTATAATTATGCAATCAACTCAGTCAGTCAGGGATAGTACTAGACTTGATCCCTAGCTTAACAATGGCAGAATATCTCAAAGTGTAAGAAAAACTTGAGGATATTACCAAAGATCTAAGTGCAAGACAGTTGCGGGGTTTATTCAATGTTAATAGGTTTGATCTATTCATTGATGTTGCACATGTCTTCTGAGATGGGTGGAGCAGTCACTATACTTTACAGGCCAGACCAAAGTACCTACTAACATGATACACAGTCAATATATTTGATTCGCTGAAAGGTTAAGATCTCAGGGCACTAAGGTGGTACTTTTTACTGTCCAATGAAATTAATCTTTCCCTGTTCACAGCCTCATCACCTTTAGTGTCAGGATTCAGGGGAAATAGACAGGGTCTTTTAATACAACCAGGCCATCATTGTCCCTCGCGTCAACTTTCCATTCATCCCTCTGAGTCACCTGCTGAAGGTGTCGACGAGGCTCATACCAATCTTTTAGTTCTCAACATTGGTCGCCTCTTTTATATGTACCTTCGAACAAAAGCACAAAATGATCTCAAGTTTGGCTAAGCTTGTCGCGTGGCAGGATGCTCAGAGGTTGACCCCGCATGAGCGAGCTAATACAGGTATGGAGCCTGGAATTGATATTATTGCGCCGGTATACTCCGCTGACACGCGTCTTGATATAGCAACGGAAGAAAACCGGGGCGTATACAAGCTTAAAAGTCGGCTTTCTGATGTGGAACTGGTCCCCTTCTATACGGGACGGTGCGATGAAAATGCCCAGATACAGCAGCTTTTTCAGCAGGGTCGGTCAAGGATAACGGTTGTTCTGAGTGGGTTAGGGGGCATCGGAAAGACACAAATTGCGCTGAAATACGCAGCGGTTCACGAAAGCGAGTATGATGCTATTTACTGGGTGAATTACCGAAGCATAGACACTGTTAAGCAGAGTCTTTTTGCAGTTGCAGAGCGAATTCACCACCAGAACCCTTTCTTGCCGGGCTGGAAAGAGGTTTTAGAATTGCAAGATATCAAAAAGACATCATTAGCCGTGATTGACTGGCTAAGCCAGACTCACAATGACAGATGGCTCGTCATTTGCGATGGTTATGGCCAGGGTCCGATAGATGATTCCAGTCTTGAGAACTGGAATCTGCACGAAATGATTCGAACTAATCATGGACACATACTCATCACATCTAGATGGCCACAATCAGACGGGTTTCATCATATTTCGGTCGAGAAGTTTACGGACATGAGCCTTGGCGTGGATTTACTTCTGGAGTGTTCCAAAAAACCAACCCTGCGGGATGGTAAGTAGGTCTATCATCTTTGCATTGGCTCAAGTATTGACATGGCTTCAGATCCGGATATAAAACGACTGGCTCAAACATTAGATGGCCTTCCTCTTGCTTTAGTGGCAGCGGGTACATATCTACGCCACTATCCATACAGCTGTGCAGAATATCTGGATGCATACAGCCAGTCGTGGCTCCGGCTGCTGAAGAAGACACCAACATCTAAACAATATGATCTTACTCTCTATTCAACTTGGGATCTTACTTTAGATCGAATTAGCAAAGTCAATAGACTTGCTGCTATACTCTTACATTTCTGTGCTTATTTTGACAATAATGATCTCTGGTTTGAGCTCTTCCAGATGAAGAATGAGCTAGAGAAGCCGGAATGGCTCCAAACGCTCACAGCAGATAAGCTTGAATTTGGTGACGCTGTGCGAATTCTCCATGAGCACGCCATGATCGAGCTCCATGGTGGAGTGACAGATAATAGGAGTGGTTCAATTGGCTTCAGGATACATAACTGTGTGCATTCCTGGACCATCCATGTCCTCAATAAAAATTGGGACTATGGGATCTCTTCGCTGGCTTTGGGCTGTATTGCCAGCACAGTTCCACACGACGGCACTTCATACTGGCATATATCGCAGAGGCTGCTAGCTCATGCGAACCGCGTTATCGATCTCTTTCATCAAGAGAAGCTCACCAAGGGCTATACAGTAGGCCAGGTTGGGCAAATACAGACGATCATTAACTTCTTCCTTACGCTAGGCAGACCAGAAACGGTCAGGGAGATGTGTATAAGCCTATATGAGCAGCTGGAAGAGTCCATTGGTGATATAAATACATACCGTCATCCAACAACACTTATGCTCGCGTGGGACATGATTCAGACTCTTTCAAGACTCGGAAATTATGACCAGGCGGAAATCTGGTGCAATCGTGCCCTGAGCCGGTTAAGCGACATTCCCAATGGAAGGCGATTGAAACGGCTTTTTATTTATTTGATGGCACGGAATAATATGTCTAGAGGACAGACGGAAAAGGGCACGCAGCTATTGATCGCAGGCTTAGATGAGTGCCAAGATGAGGGCATTTCCGCTTTTCCATCGGAAGAGTATCTGATGCCTGCAATATGGGTGCCATATCTCTTCAAGGAAATGCCGACGGACTTGCAAACATGGCTTGGAAACTACATGAATCAGCAAGGGACGGTCACGATGGACAATCGTCAACCATCCTTCAAATACCTTTGCACTCAGATCTATCTTTTTCTTTCCCGGCATGATAATGGCACGGCCAAGGCTCTGCTCGCCGAAGCTCGGGAAATATTTGACCGAGTAGACTCTGCCGACTATGCGAAAGCCTGCATGTTCCCTACCCTTATGGCTCTATATATCAAACTGGAAGATCAGAGGGAAATACAGAGTTTGTGTGAGGCAGCATTCACTGGGGACTGGGAGACACTGTGGCAGAGTGATTCCGAACACTCCTTCCTTATGGCTTTCACGAGGATCTACGCACATGTGACATGCTGCCAGTTTGATAAAGCTGTAATTGCGTGTCAGAAGACTCTGGACAAGCTAAAAGAGTCTCAAGTGCCATGTCCAGTACATAGATTTGACGTGCTGTTTATGCTGGGATCAGTCTTCATAGCCCAGGGAAGGATTTTTGATGCAGAGGAACACCTGACTGCAGCAATTGACTTGACTGCAGCAATTATAGGACAAGCAGAGAACACGTCATACCGCTTCAAACGTCTTACCGACATGATGGACTATGTCAGAGAATGTTATGAACAGAAGGGCGATCAAGCAGGTGCTCAAAGGTGTCTGAAATTGGTACAAGGATGTCGCTCCGAGCGACTAGGGACAGATACTTAGATTTTTGAGCTCTTTTAAGCCAACGAGCTGTCGCATGATAGTGACAGCATATTCGAAAGGGCCAAAATCCCGGCTTCAAAGATCTCGGTCCGTGGACCCAGCACGAATGTTCATCCAGCATGGGATTGTCCACAGCTGTAATGTCCGCTGCGTAGCCCAGCTCCGCACGGTATGAACGCACCGCCCGGCCAAATGCATCAAACCAGACAATACGGACCTTGCCGGCATTCCGGCCTTCACTGGCCATCGTCGTCTTATCCACGATATGGATCCGTCCAACTACAAGAGCCCAGTAGTAGTAGAGGTAGTCACCCTCATCCTCCCATGTGATATTGTCCTCCCGTTCTTCATCGAAGTCGGACTCTGCTCGCAGCGCCTCCTGCAGGCGCTCATGGTATCCTTCTGCAGAGTCCCAATACTCCAGGAGCTGCGGGATGCGCAGGAAGATTTTGTGCCAGTCGGGCCCAAAGTTGTATAATGCGTGATTATTCAGAATGATTATTTGACCGCCAAACTGGGACTCCAACCTGTCTACTATCCTGGAGAATGCAGCCTCCGTCGAGGGCTCATAACACGTGCGGAGCCAGGGCGTCCACTCACGGATACGTTCCGGTACCGGCTGGCGCACACGCTCCAGTATCCCTCGCTCCTCGGGCATCAAAACCGACCACCGAAAACCACGCTGTTCTTGTTGGTCTTTGTATGACTAGATCCTCGGCGGTGATCTGTTAGTGCGTCGGAGTCCGTCTAGCTGCCTAGAGGATGGGAAGAGGGTTGTAAGTGGAGAAAAGAAGAATGAGCCAGTACCTGCTGCCCGTCGACGCCGAGGGTCATGAATTCACCAAAAATCTGTTCCCGCTGGGCGTCGGGGGAGAGGGGAGAATCCTCCTGCCATCGTTCCCAAGGGACGTGAGTTGAGTTCACGGTTCGCTAGACAATTCCTTTGTAACTCACCAATAGGAACAGGTCTGCAGCCGACACGATTGGATCATCCATGTTAGACATTCGATGCTAATAGATGGGATGTTGGATGTTGGCAAACGGGGGTCACTGATGGGGGTTAAATAGATTTCTGCTGGTTCAGGCACCACACAGACGCGATTGTTTCCAGTGGGTTTGTCTAACAGTTCCTGGCATATCTAAGCACTGCCCCAGTTGCTTAGTCGGTTGAAACTCTACGGCTCGTCCTTAGCTGGCTAAAAATAATGCGGAGACTCTTTTGTTGGTGGCTTTCGGACTTGAGCAGTACCTCCGCTGGCGGCACTAATGAAGAGGATGATTGTTCTCCTAGCATATGCGGCATTAACGCTGGCAGTCTGGGACTAGAGGATGGGTACAGGAGCAAAGGTATGAATCCTCCTAATTGCCCATCATATGCTAGTGGTCGAGGGGAAAAGGTGGGAAAATCAATAGTTGTGGGATGCTGGAGGGGACGGATGGGACGTGAATAGATTGCCGGTTCAGGTACAACAAGGTCGAATAATCGTCCAAATCTGTCAAACGCACTCTACCTACTCAGCGATAAAGGTGTCTAGACAACCCTTTCTAAGGAGTAGATGTTCAACTAAATAGACTGCTGCTAATACAAAAGGGACCCCATAATCGCCAGTTAGCAGATCTTCCACTCCTTCAAGCAACCAGGTTTCCTTGTAATTCAACTATAAGACCAGGAGGAAACAGAGGGCAAGAAGAAAGAGAGCGAGAAGATTCGAGGAAAAGACTGGAAATCATATATTTAAGGTCTCCTTCTGCATGAGAACCTCATGGGTACATCATCTAGGTCAACCAGATTCCCGTACCCGTACGACAACCTGTCCTTCAAGCTTAGCTTTAATAGAGCAGTCTCATTTTGTCAGGTCTAATAGTTCTCTATCAAATTGAATCCCAGGAATGTAAGATGATTCGGTACGCATGTCTTCGTCCACTCACCGTTCGTCCATCCAGTTCGTGGTTTAGATGTGCCCGACTGATGTCAACCACACACGACACGCAAAAAGGTACTGGAGACAAAGAGGACAATCAACACTTTTTTCGTCACACTCGCGATCAGTTTCTATGGGATGAGCCTCATCAGCTCTCACAGAGATATATTTAGTTCAATATAAATGAACTCGCCAGTTAAGCCGTCCGTGCGGCCGAAGCTGTCGGTAACGGGCCTCGAACATGTGTGGACATTGAAAAATTGCCCGATGGGATGCACAGTAAGGCTGTACGCTTTACAATGGACGATGGCTTCCAGGCAGTCGGTAAACTACCTAATCCGAATGCCGGTTCACCGCATTTCACAACTGCCTCCGATGTCGCTACGATGGATTTCGTAAGGCTTCTTCGCCCCTGGTATTGATCCTTCGGGAGTATTACTGAGCCTATCTAGATGCGAAACGTACTAGGGACACCGGTATCAAAAGTCTTCTCTTGGAGTTCTATGGCAGACAATGCTGTCGGGGCGGAGTATATCCTGATGGAGAATGTCCGCGGCGTGCAACAGAGTCAGATATGGAATCGGCTTGATGTGAAACTGCAGTTCGAGATAGTGAGGACATTTGCCCTATACCAAGACAGCTGGGCACAGACTCATTTGCTAGAGCTATTTTAAAGTCCTAGCAGAAATTCTTAATAGTTTCTGGTGTAGGTTTTTCCTTAATTCAACCTAGTATAATTCTTATATAGATTTCTAAAAACCCTTTATAGGTTTTAATATCCAGGGGAGAGCAGGCAGCAGGGTGTAGCTTGAGGAATCTAAGAGGATAAGATCTAAGCCTCTATAGATTTAAAAGACTTACTTATTTAGAATCTTCAGACTTTGCTTATACTTCTTGGCCGTTCATGAAAGAATGGCTTGTTTAATGTCTTTATTATTATAATTATTAAAATTGATCACATATATAAAAGTTGCTACTAGCTTCTGTGGCATACTGTCTAATCAGTTTTCAGAGGGATAAAGAAGTAGAAGTAAGACAGACACATCCTGGGTTTAAACATGTTATCTCCCTTATATAGGCGCTATTGTGTGCTTTTATCAAAATGCAGCTTCTTCATAGTTAAGTACAAAATATTTAGGTGCCTGAATATTCACCTGAAGGCTGCCAGAACGTGGGCGGCAGAGCAGCAAGGGAACAGACACTAGGGAAGGTGAGCACTAAGCCACTAACATATACATGCTGTTGTATGTTTTTGCTCACCTATCTTTGCTTCAGTATATGCCATTGTTGCCTTTTCTTCACCCTCTTCACTCAGTTCCCTGAACTCACCTGAGTCGCCTGAACCTCAATATTGCTCACCCAGTGACCCTACTGCTGATGTGTCCTTTCCAGCACTCTCGGGTGTAAGTGTGAAATCAATCCGGCCCAGGTACATTAGTAACCCCTCCAGGGTCAGTTGGCTGGAAGAGTTGAGATGCCAACCATTATTGGCAGCAGGCAGACATGCCTTTAGCAAGAGTAATTTCACATATGTCAACAGGAGCAGGGAATTGATACAATGACGTTCCGGACACTGGGAAATGATGCCAAGTTGCACTTTGCTGGCAGTGTTATTATGGCCGACCAAGCGGGCAGGTTTAGAGTATATATTACTGGACTATTCATGATCGATCAGAAACGTAGCTAGCCGCGGTCCCCACGAAGTATGGATGAAGCCTTAAATGGGCGCTGAGTGCCTCCTATGAGCATCATTCAGCGTCTAATGTACCAGGTCATAACACTGCAACACCCATTACTGCTAAGGTAGCATCTGCATTCGTATTAGTGATTAGCTTCTACAGGCTTCAGGTTGGCCGTTGTAAGTTGTTGTCATAGCTCAGTGTACGGCGTAAACTTAGTATAGACTGTTGAAAGGAGGCGTTACGTCATGTCAACCTCAGGCCGCCAATCCTTCCCCAACGATCAACAGCTGGATCCCCACAGCTTCGAAGATCACCACCAAAAATACTCCCAGCACTATCTACCCGACCGCTGCCATCTCATCTATATCAAGAAGTGTTCACAAACTTTCAACCGGATTTGATTTCCTAGTTTGATCAAATCAGGGTGCAGAAGTCCACCTATCCATCGACTCACTGAGTCAACCCCGTATACTGGAGCTGCAACCTCAACATAAAGCCCCACATCTATACTAGCTACCCACCGCAATAATAAACATGCTCTCATTCTCATTACCCTCCTTCGGTTTCCTACCATCTTGGAAACGCCAGACAGTCTTCGATATTCCACCAGTGAAGGTCCATGAGGTCGATACAGCCCACGAAAAGCCCGCCAGGGCCTTGAAGCACCTGCTCAAACTGAACCACGCGAATCACGCCATCCTGTACAACGAGCGGAAATTCCACAACCATGCCCCTCATGTCTGTTTTCTGCCCCTGTTCTGGACATCAAGTTGCTGATGTTAAGTAGATTCTGAGTTCAGCGTTTCTGCAAGGCGCAGACGCGGATGATCTGAACCGAGTATATGAGGCTGAGTCGAAGACGCTTGAGCCGTGGGTTGATTCTCCAGGGGAGATTAGCACGTATGACTGGCGGGATTATCTCGGACGGCGGGAGTATGTACCTCTGCTTGTTTTGTGGGATGAGTTGCGGAGTGTGGCTGATGTGGCATAGGTACCAGCGGGCGTTTGTGGATTTCTTTGAGGATGAGCTTGTCCGGCATGGGTATGACTGGAAGAAGGTCGTAGCGGATTATCTGTTCTCCGGCAAGGAGCCACTGTTTAGTTCGCTTGTTGCTGACCGTGAGTGGTTGAGATGGTTGCTTGAGGGGGGATATGCTGACGTTGTGCGTTTAGTTGGGCATCCGTTGATTCATCTGGGGTATGCCTTTGAGATGTCGAGTCGGGAGGTCGCCATGGAAGCGTTGGGTCTTGCGGCAACTTGCTACAACGACATACACAAGTACATTGATGATTCGTCCTATTCCAAGGCGGAATCGTCGTACCATTCTACTTCGCTTTTTGAGATCCTAGCCAGGGTCCGTGCTGACAAGCGCTTTAAAGGGCTGTTCGCAACCCCAGGGGACCATAACTTGGAGACTCTCTTCCGGCACCACGAGGCTGCCCTACTGGACCATTGGAACGCTTGGAAGATTGAGGATCCTGTGCCTCAGTTCCGCGAGAGCCAGCAACTCGCCGCCGCTGTGCTTACTGCTACACAAACAGATCCCACCGAGAAATACGACTTCTTCCTCGTGCATATCCTTACCACCAGCCATGCTGTCCGGATCCTCCTGCCGTTGATTCCTGCGCGGTTTCAAGTCCCACTCGTCAGGCAGTGGTGGCTGATGACGCTGGCTGTGTACATCGCCCAGCTCAGACCCGAGATCGACCTTGACCGAATTCGAAATTACGACCTGCAAGGAAGAGACTGGAAATGGACCGCCAAGCAAGCGGTCAAGAGCAAGCATTCTACGGATGCACATTATGTCAAAGCTCTGCGTGCTATGCGGGAGGCAGCAGCAACATGGGGAGACTCGGATGAGCTTTATCTGAAGGCAGCTGTGAAGTTTGCAGAGCAGTTCAACGGTTGGGGAGGGTTTGTATGATGGGTTGTTTCGTTTGACTTTCTTCAGCGGTTGTATTACTATGAATTTTCAAGCTGGGTAATTGTTGTCTACGATGATCTAAAATGCTTAATCTCATCAGTTATGGAATCAGTCGTTGATGTTGGTAAAGTCCATTATTTCTTCACTTTAAGCAATGCCTGATCACGTGAGTTGTATGGAATTGAAGTAACGAATCACGTGATGTTGGCGGATCTGTTTGCAATGTTTGCAATCAAATCCATATCAGCACAACCACCGTCGGCGCATTCAAGAATAATAATCATACCATTTCTTGCGCAATTTGTTCTATCTCAATCTTGATACTTACCTTGACAGCTTGTGCTCCTGATATGTGAGGATCACAAACTGTCATGCCTGCTCCCCCCGAGAACCCCGAGACAGGTGTTGACACATCCTTGTATCTCCACGCCGAACTCCTCCCAAACATCCGTCACATCACACTGTACATCTCAATACCGGCCAATCTAGGTAGCCAGAACATCCAGCCGCTGATAACCCTCTCAGAATCCCGTCAGTCTGTCTCGGTATCCCTACCGAAACCCTTTGACCATGTAACGGATACCATCAAGCTGCCCGCGCGGGTTAATGAAGCCTCGCGGCGCATTCTAGCCACCGGTAGACAGGGCGCTGCGACTACCGCAGATAGCAGACGACGCGAATTCTCGTTCCGAATGCAGATTGATGAGTCGGATGATTCGCTTTCGCGCCAGGATGCGCTCATCGATGATTTCGTGCCCTGGACTGCTGCGGATATGTCTCCGTCGACGAAACTGCGTTGTCGGGGGTGTGAGAATATCGTTCTGGATACGCCTCGGTGCGCCGACGGGTCTGAGAATACTGGTCCAGTAGGCTGGACGTGGAAGGACCTGCCGAGCGGGAACTGGGCCGAAATGATGGACTTCTGGCACTGTCATAAACCGGACCCTCCCGAAGGCCACGGCCATGGGGAAGACCCCAATGCTCATACGAAGGGGTACGGAGCGGCGAATCAGGTGGTGGCGACGGCCGGGACGGTGCTCGTGGATGTGGCGACGTTTCTGGTCTCGGAGGCGGATTGCAGGGGATTAAAGAAGGTAAGGCTTGTCAGTGCTTTGATTTCTGCTATTCTTTCTCTTTTACCGTGGGCAAAAAGAAGGAGGCCTTTTCGTTTCCATGGACGGGTCTTCGATACAATTGCCCTATATTGATTTAAGCTCCTCTGAGTGGGGCGGACTGACGTGTAGTCGTGATGGCAAGATGGCCTGGCTCTTGGGGTGCAGTTATCCTCCTTATGAGATGGATTTCGCGCTTCATCTGCCTAGGCCATTTTGTCGTTGCGGCTCATCACGGAGGCCCGTCTGATGCTCCGAGGTTAAGGCTGCCTGGCTCGTTTCTTCGTCGATTTCCGTCTATGGGGCTTCCCAGAGGTATGGGATCGACGCGATTAGGCAAGGTACATACAAGCTGTAGAGGTAATGCCTAGCAGTCCGTAGGTTAGATAGAGTTGTATTCTGAATACAAGTTGTCATCTCTGCGCATTGCTAGTATCAGCTCGCTGATTCCGACTTTTACCATAGGTACAACCTTCACCTGAAGAGTCCGCCCAAAAGAAAGAAATATCCTTGAACTGCGCAAAATGCAATGCCACAATAGGTATTGAAGACGCCGTAGCGCAGGGCTGGCGACTCTTTAAAACAAGCCTATCCGCCAGTATCCATGACCCAACAACATTGGAAACCCACCCCATCGAAACCATTGTCGCGGCTCAACTCCTCGAGCTCATCGAGCGGGAAAGCGCCCGTCGCTTCGTCATCCACTGTAGCAGGCCAAATGGTCTCCTAGTACGTCCCTTGCCCCTCACAAGAGTTTATCAAGGTAACTAACAGCATGAAGCTATGGGTCTTCAACCCCGACTTTCGCTACTCCAGCTCCAGCGCAGAATATACTGTCTCCTCTCAGCGGGCGATGAAGGTCCTCTTCCAGGAGGCCGGGGACGTAGACAGCATTCTGAACCCTGATCGGGGTTCGTCGCTTTCGCTGGAGGAGGTGAGGCTTCCGGAGTATGTGTACGAGGCTGTTGAACGGGATCTGAAGGCCAGGAATGAGATGCTGCCGGCTTCTGCGAGGGAGTTTCGGGAGTGGAGGGTTGGGGCTTTGCATCGGTTTGAGAGAGTATGAATATGGTGTGTGTAGTGCATTAGTAGAGTAAGAGTGAATGGGATACGTTTCCCTGTTCACTGGGGTGAGATTGATATTCACTGGTCTGCATCTATTACGTCGCGTATAAAATATCGCGAGATCACGCCTCCCAACTCATAACTATCACTACACTTCCATCTACTCTGCGCCAAGTCAAATCAAAGCTTTGCTATCTACTTATCTGTGAGTAACTCCTACTTATAGAAATCTACTAATGAAATACTAACATCCAAAGCTCACTCACATCCAACCAACCAACCTCATCATGCCATCCAGCAATAACAATAACAACACCCCCAGACCCTGGGGAAGCCAATGTGCCTGTGTTAGTCTAGACAGCACCGGCCAGAGAAACTTCATCCAAGGCTTCGCATTCATGGAAAGTGACGACGAGGAGGGTCTCGCCTGGCAGCATGTCGAGGATATATCTATCTTGGCGCCTGAGGAGGAGTATTTTTCGACCGGGGCTATGGGCCGGAATCGTGAGAATGGTTTTAAGAATGGTAGCTCTGCCTCTGGCTCTGCTGAGGCGAGCGGTTCGAAGAAGGGGTCCTTTGGGTCTGCGAAGGGGAGTGGTTCTAAGAAGGGTTTCTTTGGCTTTGGTGCGAAGGGTAAGGGTGAGGATCCTACCGGGAAGAAATGAGTAAGTAGTTCATCCTGCACGCCTTTTCCTTTTGTGTGTGTGAGAGAGAGAGAGGGCTGATGTGAGTGTTGGCAGGCATGTTGCAGGGACATCGGATGACCAACCAAAAATGGGTCGGACTGCTTAAGAGCAGTGGAATATACGAAGTGCTGGGATATGTGGGCATTGTTTGGTTGTCTCTGCTGAGCTACATGGTGTCCTCATTTCATGAGATACTAACTAACGGATGGATGTTCATGATCATTGTTATTCTCAATAGCACTCAATACGAATGAACACTTCGTGGGACTTCGTCTATTGACTACCCTCGAATGGTGTTTCAAAAGGTGGCTCTGCTTGAGGAGTGATCCTCGCCAGATGACGCCTCTGCCCATCTTCCCAGTCGAAGAGAGCTGAGTGTGCGACAACACGGTTCTATTGTCATTAGTACTGTCCAAAAATGCAGGATAAGTATACTCACATCCCAAACGACCACTGTTCCAGGGAGCCATCGGACGCGGGTCTGTAGATCCTGCGAGAGAGCAATGTGATCATACAAGAACTTGAGAAGCCAGTCCGACTCTTCCTTTTTGTATCCCACAATGTAACGGGTAACTGCACAGTTAGAAGTTTCTCCGTCTCTACTCAAGAGAACACTCACATTGTGGATTGACGAACAGGGCTTTCTCTCCAGTGACCTAAACGATATCAGTCACGTATCACCACCTGCTGAAGGTCGGCAACTTACAGGATGAGTCCTGACAATCGGATGCTCCGACGTTATCCCCTCCCGTCGAGCAATTCCCCCTCGGTTCAGACTATTGTTGATCTGCTCAATACCAGAGTGTACCGCCTTCAAACCGTGCAGCCGCTTACGGAACTCAGGCGACAACCGTCTGTATGCCTGCGCCATGTCGGCGAAAAGAGTATCGCCTCCGCTGGTCGGTCCGTCGAGAAGGTACAAGAAAGTCGTGCCAGGCGGCTGCTTCTCAAAGGTCACGTCCGAATGCCAGGTTACGGTGTTTGTGCGTGTAGCCAGAAATTCGGCACCACTCCGGTCGTCTGCCCCCCGGTGCACGAGGTGGATCTCCGGAAAGCCTTTGGGGGCTCCGGAGGTTTGATGGATATGGTGTCGGCCGAAGTAGCCACCAAATTCCAGGGCTTTCTCAATGGGAAGATGGGCAAAGTCCTGGTCACGGAAGGCTGGGGGCAAGATCAGCAGTGATCAATGAGGCTGGCGTCTGTAACGTACCGACGACTTTTCTTTGAGCTACAAAGAGGGCCAGCTGGTCCTTCCCTTCTTTCGTCAACTGGCTAAGCTGGACGCCGCGGACTTCACTGCCGATGGTCGGTGTGAGATTGTCCACCTGGACTTTACCCTGGGGCAGAAGGTCAGGAAAGGATGGATCGGCGTCTTTGCCATGGTCGTAGTGCTCAAACGGTGTAAGTGGTGGATATCTAATGACATCAGCGGATATGACCTGAGACTCAGAAGTTGAAGTATAATGTCCACTTACCTCTCCGTTTCGTTGTCCCACACGGGAAGATAGTGAGGAAACGAGGCAGGAGGCTGCTTCTCTGTGCCCTTCACCTCGTTCTCATGGCTGTAGACCTCGCCATACCCGATCACATTCTCCTTGTTGAACCCAGCGTCAGTCTTGAGCTTGGTGACTGGCGCGGTGCGAAGAGCAACGTTCTCAACCAGTGACGGGGCCATTTTGTATGCCTTGACTCAAGCAATCCTTGATTTTCAATCTTGGTCTAACAGACATGCAAGCGAGAATACTACTCCAGATATACCCATTTCCCCTGCCGAATACCCGATCTGTGCTCGCGCAATCACTGCGGGGAATGCTCTGATATGTCGTACCTACCGTACGATTCGACCATGGCCTTGCTCCATGCGGGGTGGATTAGAGGTCAGCATTTTAGAGGTCAACGCCTTGCGACCCAGGCTTGGACCGCTCAAGGTCAGGATAGTCATGGTGAGGGCTGCTTCCACCCAGATTGGATAACTGCCCTGCCGAATACAATTCGGTGTATTTCTTCACGAGTATGGTGAGTGCTCGAGTCAGTCAATCCTCCAAATTAAGTTGCAATGCCGATAAGGGAGTTCTGTTGGACTCTGTTACTGTTCGTAGCCAAGTATGACGTGATTGCGGTGTTGAGTCGCGCAACGCGTATACAACGTAAACTTCGCCAGAGAAGATTTCCCCTCCTTGTTTCAGAGCTGGGAGATTTCGATAAGGCCACATCTCGGATCGCTGCTTTTAGTGCGGTTGGCTGCAAATATGCCTTGCTCGTCCTGGTGAATCTCATCGGAAGGGTTTCAAAGTCGGACCAAAAGTTGCAAGAAATGTGACTCGCCAAAGGGCAGACTCCTGTTTGACGGCGAATCTAGTGATCGTCAGAGGAAGTCTAGACGATGATGACCACAATGGCGATTGGCGTATAATAGCACCATCGTCTATCACTATTGCAGGACAACTCTAACTCATTCGCCATCAGCCTTACTGGGTACAAGAATTGCATAAATCAGGTCAATGCCGTGGGAGTCTCCACCAGAAAGCTCCATTTTCGACACTACTCGATATCCCCGCACGTCTTGGATGACATGACTCGTCTTCTATAACGTCAATCTTATTTGCTTTGCGTGATGTGAACTAGACCATACTACCGAGTGCGACTACAGCCCTTGACAGGATGTGCTGGGCTTCTGGCCGGGGCTTGCACTCACTTGTAGCCTTGAACCCACCTGAATGCGACCTTCATCTTTGCCTCTTGGGGCAGGTGGATTCTTCTTATCTCGGGTATTTTCATTCTTCATATAGATATCTTTCTTTGTCGGGAGTGGCACCGCTTGGATCCATACTGACCTATTCAAAGCGGTAGATTGCGTGATGGATCTTCAGATGCTATCAGTATACGGCAAAATGACCGTTTATATCGCCCGTCCCCGGCAGATATCTCACAGAATAACACATAAGCTGCGCAATCCATCCGAGAAGCTGCCTGTACAGTTGCGAAATGGCCGCGGATGAAGTAAAAGGAGCGTCTGCTCCGGAGAGATATGACACCAAGGCGTTCCCGAAATCCATCACAGCAGAGGCGTCTACCTCTTCGTTGTCAAGTGATGAGCCTCGACGATACAAGGATGCAGATGCTGCATTTGATACCTCTGAAGATCCGCGGTATTACAAGCCAATTCCGACTTACGAGGGTATACATCGTTGGGATCCAGACTTCGAGTGGACAGAGAAAGAGGAGAAACGACTGATAACAAAGGTACTCGGACCCCGTTCTTGTCTTTACAGAATAATACTGAATAGACAGATTGACCTGCGAGTCTGCACATTCGCATGTGTAACGTTCTTCGCGCTCCAGCTGGATCGAGGCAATATCGTCCAGGCACTGTCGGACAACATGCTGGGCGACCTTGGTATGAACACGAACGACTACAACACCGGACAAACGATCTTCTTCCTCTGTTTCCTCTTCGCGGAGCTGCCCTCGCAGCTCATCTCCAAGGCACTCGGGCCGGATCGCTGGATCCCCATTCAGATGGTCTGTTGGAGTTTGATCGCCGCTTTCCAGTCTTTCATCAAGGGCAAAAGCGGGTATTTCGTTTGCCGAGCGCTTCTCGGATTATTCGAGGGCGGATTGTAAGTCGAGATCTAAGCCACTGGTCCCATAGATTTGACTGTTGACCCTTGCAGCATCCCCGACACGATTCTCTTCCTCTCCTTCTGGTACAAGTCCAAGGAACTGCCCATCCGCCTCAGCTACTTCTGGGTTTCGTACCAAGCAACCGCCATCGTCGGTGCATTCCTCGCCTTCGGCTTCCTCCACATCCACGACGGCGACGGCAAAGGCGGCTGGCGCTACCTCTTCGCCTTCGAAGGCCTTATCACAGGCATTATCGGCATCATCGCCGCATTCTGGATGCCGGCCTCCCCCACACAGACGAAAGGCGGCTTCCGCGGAAAGAACGGGTGGTTCAACGAGCACGAGGAAAAGATCCTCGTGAACAGAGTCCTCCGCGACGACCCCAGCAAAGGCGGCATGCATAACCGGCAAGCCGTCACCCCCAAGATGCTCTGGCAGGCGCTCGGCGATTATGACATGTGGATCATCTACCTGCTCGGTCTGACATGGCTGATCCCCAACACACCGGCGACGAGCTATATCACGCTGCAGCTCAAGTCGCTGGGGTTCAAGACCTTCCAGACCAATCTCCTGACTATCCCCGCGTACGCGATCTTCATCGTCAACCTGCTCTTCTGGACTTGGATCTCGGAGCGGTTCAATGTGCGGTTCCTCTTGGGAGTCGTGGCGGAAGTCTGGTGCCTGGTTCTGCTGATTGCCCTGGAGGTTCTGCCCGCAGAGGCCAGCCCCTGGGCCCGGTGGGTCATTTTGATACTTCTTCTTGGGGCACCGTACATCCACGCGATCATTGTGGCCATGACATCGAGGAACGCAGGCACAGTGCGGACACGGACGGTTGCCAGCGCGCTGTATAACATGACGGTGCAGACCTCGAATATCATTGCCAATAACGTAGGTGTTCGACCGGGTCAGACAGGCGTATCTATATCCTACTAACAATGCTCAGATCTATCGTGAAAATGATAAACCGTACTACCGCACCGGTAACAAGGTTCTCATTGCTCTGTCGGTATACAGCATGGTTCTCTTCGTCGTGGCCCGGTTCTACTATGAATGGCGGAACAAGTACGTTTCCTTCCCAGGTTCATTTGATGGCTTGAGACACTAATTGCGTCAATAGAACAAAAGCAAAAAAGTGGAACGCCATGTCTAGCGCGGAAAGGGAGGAGTATCTTTCTGCGAATAAGGACCTGGGGAATAAAAGGTTTGTCTGATACAGGACATTGATTTCCCGACTGAGCTGACATTTCGATAGACTCGACTTTAGATTTGTGTACTAGGTGCTGGGAACGAAAGAGGTCCTGCTGGCTTGTGTTGGAATGCTGTGGCTTCTTGGATAGGCCTTTAACCCTCCATAATAGCTAGCAACAGCTTGGTAGCACCTCAATAGAGAAGTCCATGCCCACATAAAGTCTGATGTAATTCTTGACGAATCATGTAGAGACCCCAGCAAAGGCTGATTCAGGTCTACTCCCCGATAACATATTCGCAGCCATCGTCTCCAATCCACACCTCATGTAACTTACCAGCGGGCACATCGATTCTCGCTCCCACTCCAAATGTCTCTTTCTTGACTTCTCCATTGTGCAATTTGGAGTTATCGTCCGGATATGTGATGGTAAGAGTTCCCCGTCGGATGAGATGCGTCGTCAAGCCGCTATGGCTATGTGGGGGGTAGTAAGCGTTGCTATTCAAAGAATCAGTAATTGACTTTGGAGGTATTGACATCTCAATTCCAAAATGAAAATGCAAAGCTATAAGCTGGTATACCTTCCATCAGTCCAGGTAAAGACATGTTTGAAGCCCCACTCATGGACTAGACGTTCATCGTCGCTGCGACTTTTGATGGGATATGTTTGTGTCATGATCTGTGGAGGTTCCCTCTGCAGCAAAGCAATCAGATATTGTCGAGAAGGACTAGTTTGTTCTCCAGGGATTATAGATTGAGCGTGCAATGCGATGGCGGGGAATGTTTGTTGATGACGTCGATGGAGGATGGCCAAACATCGAAGAAGATCGTTTTGCTCCAACGATATCTCTTGCATTCACGTGCCCCTGTATCATAACACGGTGAATTGGACGCTTGACACAAGACCCCCCAGCAGAGACTCCATATATCTGAGGGTCAAATCTATGCTCTTTTTATTTGATCTGTCGTCGCCACCCGTAGATACCTGTAGGCCTGTAGTTTGTCTTTGGCACCGGACATATCAGCAATCATTTCAACAAATATATTCCTGTAGCGTCTTTCAATCGTGGATCGAACGTAAGCCAATATCCTAGGTCAAGTCAAGTAGGGTACGGCAGGAAACCACTCGTGAGTCATATATTTTGAAATTTTCGAAAGATGAAGTAGACGAAGGATGGTTGAAGAGGGAAATCGAGAAAAGAGGTGCAAGAGAGAAATAGTGCCTTGATTTCAAGGCAGCAAGCAAGCAAGCATACACCAGAAAAGAGGCAGGTGCTGTTGTCCTTAACCTCTGCTTTCATTTGTGCGAGGTTTCGTGATTAGCATCCATCATTCTATCGTACAAGAAGTCCCTTTTTAATGCCATCTTCATCCCTCGCCGTCCAAGATTTTCTCAGAATCGTACAATACAGCCCCGTCAAACATCTCCCAATTGCTTTGGTCGACAGTTGGCCCAAGCCTGGAGATCATGTCTCGTGCTTTCCCGGCGTCTGCCTCAGATACCTGCCGTCCTACATTTCTCGTGGACAGCCAGAAGGTCGAGGCTCACCGAGGGACCTACTATAATTTGTTTTGAAGGTAGGGATTTCCTCCTTTTCCCAGAGATTTTGTGAATCTCCTGGAGTTTGGTGGGAAAAGTCTTCATGAAGAATCTAACACAGCGTTAGCTTTAGCGAATTCTTTTCATCCTTTCAAAAAGAGTCATGCTCTCACCGACGTCGATCAACATGGTGTGCCACAGACATGACAGTTCTTTCCTGGTATTACCCAAGTCTCTTTTCCCTGTCCCTGGCAAGATGGACAGCGAACACCAGGCATCTGGTCAAGTAACGACAATCAGCAATTGCAAACAAGAATCCATAACCCGTCACTCAATCCATACCGTCATTGTGACTAGATTTGATCAGGGCGCTTGCTAACAAAATGTGTCGTGACTCTCAGGAAACGTGTGATCTTGCAACCTTGGGAATGGGTTGAGAGTTTCCACTTTAAAGTTTTGATCCTCAAAGAAACTTTCCCGTGGATATGGATAAGAAAGGACTTGTGGTTGAATGAACCGGACCTGAAAACTACGTCGATCCTCTTTATATAGCCTGGCGAGCGAGTGACTGCCCAGAACCCGTAAGAGGCTGCGGATTCGAAATCTCCATCGGGAGATCTCCAGTCCAGATTGGACCGATTTAACACTAGACACAGGTGAATTTTCAATGCATCCAAAGAGGAGAATGATCCTCGCATGGACGCAAACACCACTTCTTGTCGAAAATCAAGCTTATGCTCTGGAAAGCTCGGGTGATCCCGTCTATGACAAGCGTCGTGCATTCAACAAATGAAATATGATCATTTGCTAGCGTCCAGCTTTACATGCTGCCTGCAAGATACGTGTGCAGAGACTCCAAAAATGACTTGAACTCACCCGAACTTCTGGATCCGCTAAAAGAATGGAGATCAAGCAAAATGATACCCATGCAATGGGTCACAGGCCGTTTAAGCAACATGCAGTTTGCATTATCTATCCAGAATGCTCCATACATACTTCACCGCATATTGCACATCCACTATGACTTTATTATGTGACTCGTTGCAAATGACATTGCTAAGAGCAATCAATCCAAAGTAGGTATTTAACGGAGAAACCGGGGCTACCTTTACGCGATATCCACAACATCGGGTGACGGATACGGTCCCAATGTCCTGACTCTTGGAACTCACGGCAAGTAGTCTATATGGGTCCTGCGTGATATTACTGGACCATGCGAATTGTCATCATCAAGCCCCTCGTTGGCGCCCGGCTGATGGATAGCATATCAGATATGCAATTTGCATTCGATTATACATCGAACATTCGTTACCAATTTCTTCCATCAATCCTATCCAATTGGTTCTTACAGAGTACTCCAAGTACCGAGCCCAATTTCTCAACATGGATACTGTGGATCTACAGGGGTAAGTGTTAAGTGCTGTGATCTGGGAACCAGCTTCGCTAGGCATGTTCAGTTGTGATGGATATGACTTGAAATTTGATCAGTGACATCCTTTCCCCATCAAGCGCCTGTTCGCCGGCAGCCAGACCCACTGGTCCACCGACTCGAGGACGCAGCCTATGATGTCCGCCAAAGCTACTCCGACAACTCCGTAGCAATCAACTGACAGCTGGCCCCAGCTTGGTGCCACTGCGTGCGCCATACATTGGTAGCGCACGTTAATGATACCGTTGCTGTGTCCAATGACTCCTGTCATCCATCACTATGCGAGTGGCTATAAAATTGAAGCAACTATATGATTAATAGACCTGCACATCGGGTGCTTGAGACCAAGACCATCGGATGATAAATGATCGATTTTGACGTGAGAAATGTGTTGGCATCCAGTGTTGATCAACTGTCAGTCGACCGACTGGAGACCCTGAAAGGCGCATCATCTATCACTACCACTACCCCTGAGTTTCAGGATTCCGCGAGTAAGAGTGAAGAGACTCGGTTCTCGCAGGCTGCGAACCCCCCTTTTTCTGGGACCAATACTGTGGACAAGCCATCACAGGCTGCGGTAGCCAGCATTGAGTTTGTTGCTAATCAACCCAAACCATTTAGACTGGTCATTAGCGTTGATAGTGAATCTTATCAAGGCATGGGGATTTATCCATCACTTTTGCTGCGTTGATGCCCCACATCTGCAGTTGATCAGTCAAGTCTCCCTTTCTCCAGCCATCCTTGGGTGTTCCAATCCTGAATGTTGTGCGACTGTGAATTGTGGAGGCTTGCCGAAAACTTGAACTGGCCCGTTTGTCTCCAACTGCGCATATGAGTCGTTTGGGAGATTGACACTGGTAATGATCTTCTTGTTTTTGGCCCATTTCTTTTTAGTGATTTACCTGCGATACTTGACGAGTTTTGCATGCAGGAATCCCCCTGAGGCAATCCCTCAGCAACAGGCCATGCGTGTATGACTGTACTCCGTCCTGACTGCTGACTACAGAGAGTGTGGCTCTCGGAGGCTTTCCCCTAATCCTTAGTCACTCCACACCACCTTAGCGCTCATCCAGTCAAGGATCCATCCACATAACGGCATTCCTGCTCGTTGACAGGTCACTTTTCTACCTCCCTGCCAGATCAAATATAGCAGCAATCAATATACTTTGTGTGACAGTTCCAGCAACCTCCCTCCGCCCCCTCCGTTCCTTGCCCCAACTCTCTCAGAGGGGGTTGAGCAATGACAGTCTCTGCAGGCTGAGGATCATGCTCATATTCACCCACACCGCCAGACTATCGCGGTGTAATGAAACTTTCTAAGCCCCTGACACTTGATAGATCATTCACGCGTGATCAAGTCCTATGAGTGAGAACTCCCCGGATAGTCTATTTCGCTAATCATTGCTATGTTTATCATGGCGAATCCATGCGCTCTGCTGAATAGTGGCTCGGCAAGGCTCTACGAGTACAATGTGTTTGTCCATCTACCTGCTTGCTGGCAGCAGATTCAATTCGGACAAACACGCTCGAATTCAAGAACGGAATCAATAATGAAGTATCAAAAGTCAAGGATAGTTGCAGTCAAACGCAAGTAGCTGCAGCTAATCGTCAACGACGCTGGAATGGTCTAATCAGGTCATATGCGCCAGGGCTGATTCACATGCATGACATGAGCATGAGCCTTCAGACTGATTTATCCAAAGTGCTCTGACTGCACGCAAACAACTTGCATATTCCCTTTTCGTAGGTGGAGGGGGTGGGGGTGTTCAAAATGTTGCTCTCTTGCCTTTCTAGATGAAGCGTCGAACAAGGTAGAACCCTGCATGAAGCTTGCGTGACAGGTTAATTACTGGGACCGATTGCCGAGGACCCCATGCGTAGCATGTGCAATTGCGGGCCGAATGCGTCTAAATTGAGGATTTGAATTCATCTGTCTGTTGAGAAGACTGAAACTTCCAAATCCCAGTCCAGTCCCACTCCAAGGGTGATGCATATGCATATGGATACATCGTCATTTTTGCTACTACTCACAACTTAACTATGGATCCTTGTTCTGGCCAATCGGCAATTGGCGAATGGCTAGCCACTCATGAGAGAACCTTGGTGATCCGTACCAAGAGGACAGCACCGGCTTCTTGCCCAGAGCAGTCATGGAGATGGATCAGTCGATAGCCTTGCTGCAGACGGCTGAGTTTGAGACATGCCCAGGCGGCGAGGGAGTCTCGGCCGAGCTCGTCGTCTTTGACTTTGAATCTGTACCTGTATTAGACTTGTGTGAGACTTGTAGAGGTGGATGGGATTGTACCTAACAAAAGTCAAGTCCTCAATGACACCCTGCAAAGTCGGGAACTGGATCATCTGCGCGCCGAAATCCGGGTTCGTGCCTGTCGCGCTCTTGATGCTGCGCTTGTAGCTCGTCTTGTCCGAGTCGGTGGTGTTGTCGCCGCCCGGCGGGAAGCCGTTCTCCTCGTCTGGACACTCCACGTGCAGGTAGCAGCTGACGTAGGGCCGGAAGCCGGATTCCTTGGTATCCCCCGGGGGCAAGGGGAGGTTCTGCCCGGCCAGAATCTCAATGGAGAGGTCGAGCTGTTGGCGCTTCACCGGGGTGGAGGGGGGATCGGAGCTGCGGTAGCCCTGGGGCTTGAGAACCCAGCCGGGCTCGCCGGTGAACATGCCGCGGTTGAGCATCATGCCCTTGTCGAGGTTTTGCCAGTTCAGGGCGACGATCTGGGCGCCGCAGCGCCAGAAGAAGGTTGGGTCTGGGTTGGAGGAGTTGACGCGCAGTCCGTAAGGGTAGACTCGCATGAAGAAGTGGCGGTTGTGCTCCAGGAGGGCGTTGCGGTCTTTGGCGTAGGCCTCTCGTGCGGCGTTTTCGGAGAGGGAGAATACATGTCCGGGTACTTTGGCCTCTGGTTCGTCAGGTCAGACTAGTTACTGTGTACCCACGCTGATACTGTAGCAGCCAGTTCTATGGTGCAATGACTTACCTGGCTGGGTGAACTGGCGGAAGGAGAACCCTTTGGTAAAAACTGCTAGCCTGCTCAGTGAGTGCAGGACCTTGGACGGTTTGGCTGGTGCAGGTTGGCCGTCCTGATTTCCGGAGGGAGGTGCATCGAGCGTGTCGGTCTGATCGTCCTTCTGCGCCTCCGCTTGGCCGTCGCCTGTAGCTGGGACCCATTTGACCTTGATGAGAATCTTGCGTTTCAGGGTCTCCAGAGGAGGCGGGGCCTGAGTGGCTTCAAGCTCTGGGGTGACTTCGATCAACATTCCCTTGAACGCCTCCTCCATGATTTCCATCATCGTCGCCTGCTGTTCGATGCATGTGTGCACCTCCAAACTGACAATGACCGGCAGATCACTTGCCACAAAGGCGCTGTCGCGAATCGCATAGCAAACATCGCGGAACTTGGTTCCTTTGGTCAGCGTGTGACCATGGAGCACCCGGGGCTCCGGACGGGGTAGGATTTGCGCGGCAGTGTCTACAGCAGCAGCGGTAGCAGTTGATGCAGGTTCATCAGTGGCTCCCTTAGGAGGCGATGATTTGCGTCCCAGCAGGCTTCCGATTTTGGACGAGAGGCCCTTGCGCCGCGATGTTGCCTTAGCTGTCTTTGTGCTACCATCCGTCTTTGGTACGTCCTGCTTCTTACAGCGACTTGGCTTTTCTTCGTCAGAGCTCGACTCGCTACTGCTGCTGCTTGTGTCGTCAGCCGAGACGCTGTCAGTATCCGCATCTCCGTCCCAAACATCGATTTCAACACATCGACAGCCACTCAGAAGTACCTAGTAAACATCAGTGAAGGTGACAACCATTATTCAGGCGTGCCCAGGTGGAGAGGGGAAGTATTCGGCAGTGCATTACATCAGCCCGCATGAAGAAGCCCCTAAGCACCAATGCAGCATCTCCCCCTCAGGCCGACAATTCGGCAAGGAATGATCAGGTGGACATACGTTGGTATATGCAGTCGCTGCAGCATCGCTGTACAACTGATTCCCCGTCAAATAGGTGTTGTGACTGGACGAGATGTAGTAATCTGTTATCGGAGCCGACAAATCCTGACCTTTGGCCGGACGCAGTGCATCAGACGCCGGGCTGGACATGTACGCACGGAATGCTGCCAAGGAGGCGAGGGGATTTGCGGCCTCAATGCTACCGGCGATCTCTTCGTGCTGTACATCCTTGACAAAATCAGCAGTCGAGGTGGAAGTCAAGGATGCATAGATCTTGTCCAGGTGCGAGGACACAGCGCCGGGCTGCACTTGGATTGACCGAGCGGGTTTTGCTGACTCGAGAGAAATGCTAGCAGCATGACCCGTGAGCTCGTCCATTGATCCCATCCTTGTCTATGTATTGAGCGACTCGACGATGCAACTCCGTGGCGTGCAGATTCGACCCGCCGCTGCCTTGCTTGCTGGTACGATTGCCTGGTGATCAATGTGCGCTGGGTGGAATGTGATACAGCAGCTGAAAAGGACACTCGCAAACCGTTCCAGTCGGCTACAGCGATCGGGACGCAGGGGATGGCAGAGATCACCACAAGAAACAAAAGTTCAAATCACGACGTCGAAAGAGAAAAACGGGAAGATGGTGCTGAGTTGGCTCGTTTCGACGCTGTCTGTTTGCTCCACTCGGCGTGGACTTGGCTGTTCTGGGCTGAGCCACCGTGAAGATTGACTGGACCGAGTCTATCCATTATGGTGATGATCAACTCTTGGACCTTGAAATAGATTAGGAAAGATACAGAGTGTATGGTTGATTGCAGATACCTAAAATGAGTTGAGTTGATGTTTATCGACGACGCGGGGTAATTCTGCAATCATTCAGAGTCCGATAAGCAACGGCGATCGCTACAACATTTTCTTCGCTGAGAGTCTAGAGAGATACTGCTACTTGAATTGATTGAGTCCTCTAAGGACAACAAGACGTTCAACTCTTTTGTCTTCATACCATGTCTTTGCTAGATCCAATCTCCCTCATACTAATGACTCCCCCTGTCATATGATCATCGTCTCCAGTTCTCCAGTCGAAGTGGGGAGCAGGCTGAGCAGCGGTGAGCCCAGAGAGCTCTGTGTTTCTATTTCTTTCTCATAGCCAGTGGAGATTGACAGTGATTATAACAAAGAATATATACTCTCGATGATACTGCTGAGAGTTGATGTATCTGTACAACTACGCCTTTCAAAATGACATGAGGTAGTCAAAGCCAGGGCCTCAGAGCTGGAAGCTGGTCATCTCTGCACTGAGGAGTTATAGTCCACCATGTACAGCGGTTGTCACAAAAGCCTCAAATCCACCCACGGTAGAGTATTTCAGGACACTGGCCTATCATCCGCGTGGTAAGCAAAACATCAGGTACCGGAAACTACTATGGACAATGGACCAAGGATACCTTGGAGACTCTCCGCACCAACTGCTGATAAATCAAGTCTCCGGGCCCCCGCTCCCGCCGTAAGACTCAAGACTCATAAGCAACAATGAAGCCTCCCAGAGCGCTGAACCTACTACGAAATATCTCAAGCACGCAAGTACGACTTTATAACACAATGGCAAGCGACTCACCAGTCCATTTCTTCGACATCACGTCGACCCTGCCTGGTACGAACATCCAAACCCTTGTACACCCTTTTCATGTGTTAACCCAATCTACAGGTTCCTCAAAATCATGGTCCCCAAACACCATCAAAACCCGAATGGTCCTGAACTACAAGGGCATCCCCTACACCCAAAGCTGGGTCTCCTACCCTGACATCGCGCCCCTCCTGTCCTCCCTCGCCGTCCCCGCCAACCCAGAAGGAATGGCCTACACCCTCCCCGCAATCAACCATAAGCCGACCGTCACGTCCAACCCGACCGGCACGCTCATGGACTCCTTCGCCATCGCCTGCCATTTGGACCAGCACTATCCGACCCCGTCGCTCTTCCCCTCCGGCGACGCAAGCTACGCCCTCACCATCGCAGTCGGCAAGCTCACAACCAGCGCGGTCAACAAGGCCCGCCCGCTCATCGTCCCCAATGTCGCCCACTTCCTTGACGACAAGGGGAGAGAGTACTTCATCAAGACGCGGTCTGCGTTGTTCGGCAAGCCGCTGTCCGAGGTGCGGCCGAAGGATCCCCAGGCAGTAAAGCAGGTGACGGACGAGATCAAGAAGGAGATGGAGGGGCTGGTGCAGATGCTGCGGGGCAGGCTGGGGAAGACGGGGCCCTTTTTCGAAGGGGAGAAGCCCGGGTATGCGGATTTCATTGTGGTTTCGTTCCTGGCGTGGTTGGAGAGGGCCGATAAGGAGCTTTGGCTGGCGTTGCTGGAGGTCGGTCAGGGGGAGTTGAAGGCTTTGTGGGAGGCTTGTGTCCCGTGGGTGGAGGGACAGGGTGAGGAGAAGGACTGGCCGGTTGCCAAGTAGACGTCTAGCTGTACTGTATATAGGAGGGCTGCATCGACATGATATACCCATTAGCGTAGAAAGTGCACTTGCAGCAGTAACAATGTCCCATTCAGCTCGTATCACGGGATGAACAGTAAGATAAAAATACACTTAGCACGTTGCCAAACCAGACACTCTATACCATCCGCAAGCAACGCATCGTACACGGCCTCTAAATCACCATGGCATAACCTGCCCCGACAACCAGCCGAAACCACTCACAGCCCGCGCAGGAAGTTCGCCTCTCTAATCGCCTTCCTCCGAGCATCTCTCGCGCTCTTCGTAATCTCCGTCCGCTTCTCAATGCTCTCAGCCGCCAATGCAAGAACATCTTCCGCCCGTCCACCGTTATACTCCGCAGGCGTGATATCCGTAGCATGATGATGGACCGGGATCTGAGGCGGCAGCGTCGCCGCCCTCGCCGCCATTTTCTTCTCGTAGCGTTTCCGCTGTTTCTTATTCAGAGCTGGGAAGTGTCAGCATTAGCACACCCTCATCTAACCATTCCCAAAAGCAACGGGGGAAGAAAAACAGGATGTAACGTACTACTAGGATCCACCCCTCCCTCCTTCTTCGCTTTCTTTCCATCCTCCAACAACCCCCACAACCAATCAGGATACTCCGAGTCCTCCAACGCAAACACGTCGGGTTTGTTCTTGAAGTAATTCAGCCCGTTCAGCTTCGTCCCCGCAGGCGCAATGCTAGGCGTCCGCTCGGCGGCTGCCTTCACGGTCGCCGGCGCAGGTTTCTCGGGGTTGACGTCCACGTGGACGCTTTCTTCGGGGGTGCTCAGCGGCTGCGACACGCCGGGGGTTGCGGACGAGATGGCCGAGGGGATGGTGATGTCGGCGCCGACGGGCTGGCGGGGAGTGGGCGGGGGAGGTGAGGCGAATACAGTGGGTTTGCCGTCACTGTAGAATCGGAATTGGCTGCGGTGGATGGGGAGCTGGCGTGTGCATGATGATGCTGAAGCGGTCCAAGACACTGTGGGTTGGGGTTGGAGTTGGGAGAGGATGCTGGTTCGGCACCGGCGGCAGATCATTTTGTTGGTTGTCAGGATTGGTCAAGGGATTTCCAGGTGTATCCCTTGTCACGAACTCACGGCCTTGTAAGATGCCGTGGATCTGAATAATACGTATTGAGGTGGATTGATATGAAGCCGTATCTGAAAACTGCGGAATGAATTTGATGCCAAGCCGGAGGTTTATGGTCACGTGCTTTGAGATACAGGAGACTACGTTCATGCCTTAATGCCTTAGGTTTCCGCTCCTCCCAAGATTAAACTACCTGATAAGCAATTTCAACTTCTGAAATACGTGGCACATGAGCACTGTACGATATCCAGATAGTTGTGCTTTTCAGTGGAGACTGGAGGACTCTTGACTCAGCAGCTTAGTGGCCTGGAGTCATAAAAGTCGGAATTCAAAGATGTTTAATATGCTGTGCACGCTGTAGAGGTTCGCGACTGGGTGGATTCTCTATCATGAGGCGCTTTCAGTTATTTTCACTCTAATAACAAAGCTAATCCCTTTTCTCTATTCTATTTCTATATAATAGAACCCTTTTCAAATAAACAGCAGATGCAATCAATGTACATACTTCAACTCCGTCAAGTTCTTTTCGATGTCCTGCTAACCTATCTCAGACTGATCATGGTCCACCGGCACGGCCACTCTTATCCCAGTAATTCTCTCCCCGGCTCCGGCAAGTACCAACAACACAATAGTAGTGACCGCCCTTATTGTCGACATTGGAAGAGAATATGACGTAGTCAGGTCCACGGTTGTCAAGCATAGCCCGTACATCTGTTCCACATGGTGTTCCGGACACTATAAGTGGTATGAGCTGTATTGTACTAGACACAGATAGTCTCATGAGGGCCGCCATTCACGAGTACGTATTGTATTGCCCGTCGTCCAGCTCTGTCACGGAGAATCCGCCGGGAATCCACTTGGCCGCGGACGCACTCGCTGTCCATCCAATCGTGTACGATTTGGATTGCTGGCTTCCTACTGAACAGGATTGTGCGCTTCCGCAGTTCATGTTCTCCTGGGTAAGTGTCAGTCATTGACTCCTTGGTAGTGGAAAAACATGTCGCAACTTACGCTGAGCTGCTTGCGCCGGTAGTCTGGCCAGGGTTTCCGTCGCCGACCTTCATGGACTTCTCCTGCCACTGGGATCAGCGGCCGAACTGCCGTTCCTCCAGTGAAGTGAGATTCCCAGCACCGCTGGGATCAAGGTCTGCAGTGACAGAGAGGTCTGCGAACAGACTGGATGAAAGGGACTTAAAGCATGCCTACCCAAACAGCGCAGATGTGGCCTGGTCTTTGACCATAATCTCCATCAAGGAAGTGTGCTTCTGATGCTGCACTGTGAGCCGCGCCTGTCTAACATGCTCGCGGACGTGAGGAGAAGGCACTGCAAGGGCAACTGCAACTAGTGCTGATATGGTTGCGAGAGATTCCACCGTGTTTCCATGGATTGAAGCTTGTGAGTAGATGGATGATGAGCTTCGGGCGTTCCTGTCACCCTGTTTATACCCTCCCGCTCCAATATCCAATCTTCTCGCCCTGTAAGCCCCTAATAGTAGAAAATGAACAGATGACGGACATCTCTGCTGTCTGTTGTTAGGTTACATTTCCGGTCGTATTCAGACCCAGAACTCATGCAATGGTTGACCGAGGGTGTTGACGCTGTATGATCCACTGGCCTAATAAAAGCGAAGCTCTCCTCTTGCCTCCGGCAGCTATGAACATTCACTCAGTACAGGCTGTATGTCCCTCATCTGTATGTAAACTGTGAGTCGAGGTGGACATTTACTATAGTGGTTCGAGCCATTGCCTAGCACTGGAGGTCCATGCAGCCGATGCACTAGGACCCGAGATATGACAGGGATTCATCTAGCTTCTATCATCAATGCAGTAGGTCAATTAATCTCCACAAATAAGCAGCTTAGCAGCACAGGATATTGAAACAAGATGCCCTGTATACTGTCTTAATAGTATAATGGGATTCTTGTGACTTGGGCGCAAGAACGCATTAGCTTGCTCCGTGCCGTACAGATATAAAGCAGGGCTTTCTGCCTAGGTCAATGGGGTTTGCTTAAGCGGTTCAATCTTGTATAACACTGCTTAACCCTCAAAGGATAGCATGATGGGAAACACTGCGTAGGTAAGACTGTAAGTGAACTTGAGTTAGACTGTACGATCAGTTTCAGAAGCTTATGGCGATCAAATATGACGCACTATACTTCATGAACCACCTCAGGGTCCTCCACCAGCGTCTACTTACATCCCAGCTAATTAGCTAGCTGAAAGAAGTAAATGAAGAAATATGATCCCAAGATCTGCCATATCAGGTCATATTAGCGTGGGGGATACCAGAAGCATGAATAGCGCTGGACAGGTTGGATAATGCCAAAGTAGTAGGTAGGACGAAGTAAACATGTTCATGCAAAGGAGCTATCTTATAAATGCCAAGGGTCCCATACCCTTTTATCCTTTCGGCTAAGCAGCCAAGCCCGCCTACGCTGAAGTGTTAGATAACAGGATTCAAGCTTAATATTATCACTATCAGGCTGCAGAGTTACTCAGGAGGCTAGTTTATAACATATATATTGATAAACATGTGATTCTGATCAAGGTCTGGGTAGATTGGGAGGTATAGGATATAATTACCATGTATGCTGGTGTCTCTCAGCTCAATAAGCCTATAGATAAAAGAAGGCTTGAAATAGCCACCTCTGTTGAATCCGCTGACCATCCAGTTCTACGATCTATCAAACATACTGCTGATAAGATCATAATTGAGATCAAACTTGAACTCCAACTAACCAAGTGCTAGACAGTGGGTACAGCCACCCGCGCAGCCATCCGCATAACTAACTAGTAACTACTACCACTAACTCCATCAGGCAAGACAAGACAAGTCAGCAACATGGGAAGACGATCTCTAGTGATTAAGTTTATGGAACGATGTAACCTCATTGATCATGTTCCCCAGGTTTGACCTCTGTCAGATTTCTTCTTATTTCCTTCTGCTATAGACAAGTTAACCACTTGACAGTTCTCCTTAACTCAAACATTGATCCTGCACTTTAACCGACTATCGGTAAGCTCTTCTCCCACTAGATACATCCATCTACTTACATTCAATAGAAGACAAAATAACACCCACACTGCAGACATCAACAAACCACAACAATGGCATCAATCGGCCCCGCCCGCTGCGCAAACCTCACCGGCCTCCCAGAACTCACCTACCCCAACACCTGCGGCGTCCCGATCTACCAGCGCTGGAACGCCACACAAGACCCCTCCACGACCTTGGGAGACTGCTGCCAGGAGGTAAACGGGACGATAGGCTACTTTGGGCAGGAGAGCTGTGCCGCATATTGCAATGCTACGGAGAGTACCAAGGCGCAATTACATGATTGCCTGGCGCAGTCGCGGGAGATTAATCAGTTTGGGTGCTCTGGGGCGGCGGCGACGAGGGGGAGTTTGTGGAATGCGGTGGTGCTGGTGGGGTTGACTTGGTTGGTTTTTATATGTTGAATCTTACCTTGGTCTACGGGGGTCGCTTGATTTGGGTTATGATGATGCTGTCGTCTTGTTTTTGAGATACCGCCTGGTATAAGTGGGTTTTATGCTTTATGTGAGCTGATGATGCAGTATACGGCCTTATGATTTACTTTTAATGTCAGAATTAAGCTGAGAAGCTTTGTCAACCTTACTTGTCAGGTAGTGGTGCTTGGGTTGACGTTCTAGTGCCCATGGGAGTGATATGGTCTGGATCCTTACTGATGCCTGCAAGGATGCAAGAATGTGCATCAGTAGCATCAAAGACTAGATCTAGAGAATCTCATTGGGATTGTAGGAGGTACTCCTCTGGTGACTCTGTCAAGTACTCAGATCAACCAAATGCAACCTAAACCCATCAATTATTATGCATTCTGATAGGCAGAAAACAATGCTCTTGTGCATTCAAGTACAGTGCTGCATGCGACACTGCAGCCTGAACAAGCACTTATCGGTAATTGCGTGTAGGCAGAAGACGAGAAGAACTGTTGTATCAAGGTTGTTGCGCCATCAGAAAAGACGTCGAGAGGCATATGGGTGGATGCATTACCTAGATGATAAATAAATGCTTGTTCCAGTTGTAGATGATATATGCAGTCGCATGCGCTGTTTTAGAATGTGTACTCTCCTCCAACTGAACAAGATCACTTCAACCTTGGAGAGGCCTAACAAGAAGTCCACGTTCAAGGTCCATTATATATATTTGGATTGGTCAAGCTGTAGTTGTATAGTCTTCGTTGCCAACTGGCCGAACGCATTGAAGATGTTAGGGGTCACTACCAAGATAAGCATAGCACATGCGCAGTGCGTACTGCAACTACTAAATATCATGGAAGAAAAGGCATGGTCCCTGAGTTGTGCTCATTGCTTAAAATTCATGCTTATAGAAGCTGAACAAGAAACTCATGATCTTCGTCTATCCAACCAATCATAGTGGGCGCATGGATAACCACGCTGGGGCCAGGTGAGGGGATACTAAGAGCTAGTCTACAGAGTGCTTATTTCTCTCCTGAACAAAACAACAATCACCAGAATTCTTCGGTAATGACACCTTACTAACAAAGCCGAACTGTGGCAACTTGCGTTATTATGTTGGTGTCCAAGTCCAACAAGGCCGCTCAATATTATGACCTGAGAATGCTTTTCTAATGATGCAAACCAAACAACAGGACATGCAGATTTTCAAAGCCCGCAATGCTCGAATGAGGACAACACAGAAATGACTAAGGATATATAGAAAGTCCACCAACGCCATACCAAAAGAAACAGAAAAAGAAAAAGAAAAAGCGACATGACAGCGAACATAACTAAGTAGACAACCCACTAACTTCCAGGAAATTGCACAAGCTCACACAAGCATCCTTGAGTGACTTTTCCGTCTTCCAGTGGAGCTCCTGCTGCGACCTTGAGGCCACGGCGACACACGAGCCCACATCACCCGCGCGGCGATCGGCCGCCCTGCGCGGGATGTGCTTGGAGGCGACATCCTCCATGGTCTCGACGACTTCCTTGACGGAGTGTCCGCGACCGGTTCCCAGGTTGAACGTGCGGAAGTTCTCGGCCAGTTTGCCTTCGTTGGCTGCACTGAGGGCGGCGATGTGGCCGCGCGCAAGGTCGGTGACGTGGATGAAGTCCCGGACGGCGGTACCGTCCTCGGTGTCCCAGTCAGTGCCGAACATCTGCAACTCCTTGTACTCGCCTGTCATGACTTTGACGACGACAGGAAGTAAGTTTGTGGGCGTCTGTCTGGGGTCTTCTCCGAGGAGGCCGGACTCGTCACAGCCGATGGGGTTGAAGTACCGCAGAGCTACGATGGTCCATTCTGGGTCGGAGGCGGCGAGGTCCGCCAGGATGGCCTCGCAGATCCATTTGGTACGGCCATAGGGGTTGGTGATGCCGGTGCAGCCGGGCTGGACAATGCGTTCACTCCCGTCATGGTCGGTATAGATCTCCTCCTTGTGAGTGCAGAGCTCCTCCTTCAGGGGGAGACCGGAAGTTGCCAAGGTGCCGTACACAGTGGCCGACGAGGAGAAAATAAAGGTCTTGATGCCATAGTCACCCAGCGTCGTGGCAAAGTCGATGAGGCCGCTGACGTTGTTGGAATAGTACTTGAGTGGGTTACGGATGCTCTCCTCCACTGCTTTGTAGGCAGCAAAGTGGATGACACCGGAGATCTTAGACTTGGTCGTACCCCATCGGGTCTGAGTCTGGTGTTGTTCTAAAAGGTCGCGGAGAGCAGCGGTGTCACGATAGTCGTGCGCATGCAGGTGCAGCGACGGCATCGTGGTTCCCTGCTGCTCATGGTACTTGGACGCTAACAGCTTGATGCGGTCGAAGACGATCTGAAAGGAGTTGCTGAGGTTGTCGATCACAATGACATTATAATTGGCCTTGAGCAGTTCCAATGTTGTGTGACTGCCAATGAAGCCGAGGCCGCCAGTGACAAGGATGTACTGGTCGAGAGGGAAGTGGCGCAGAAGATCTTCCAGATGACCATCAAACAAGACGGACGATTGCGTTGCGGGCGTGTCCACGCAGCCTGGGGAGCAAGGCTCCACCGGAGTGCTTGCGTCGGATTGCTGGTAGCTGTCCATTGATATGTTGATCAAGTTGATCAAGTTGATCGCCAAATTGAAGATCACGCCGAGAAATGATATGCTAAGCAATAGGATATCCGAGGAGAAGGTCGATCACACTTGGAAAAGAAAGGTTGCTCGGGATTTGCTCAACGAACGTGGATGAACTGGATAAATTCGGACAGATCGAGAAACGCAGGAAGAGTTTTATACTCCAGAGGCAAAACAAGCACCGCCTGGCAGCGGTCCGCTCTATCCAGCTGGGTCAGGCAAAGACGGTACGTTGACTCGCTTGATCTACACGGTGAAGGTAACTATTGAAGCGATTGGATGCAGATGATACAAGAGGGCCAGACGGACTAGATCTCGTCAGAACAAGGGTGCAAAAGAAAAAAAGAAAAATCAATCAAGTGGAAACAAGAAGAATCGGCCTCAGCCTCAGGAAAAGAAGCCGACTAGTCAAGGATGAAAAGACGGAAACGAGCGGACAGAGAAAAACGAACGGGGGAAAAAAGCGAGAGGGCAGGGCTGTCGTCGGAGGAAGGCCTAGACTAGATGTTTGATGCTTCAGAATGAATCGTCTCTCTTTTGCCTCTCATTCTGGAACGATGTCAGAATCATCGACGAGCCAGCCCTTGAGCGCCTCCACCAAAGGTACTACCTCCGTGGGCAGGATCTTTGGAACCCAGGACTTGGACCACATGAGGTCAGGAAGCGACACAGCCTGTCTGCGAACTTTAGCCTAACTACTGAGACTAGACTAGAGGGTCTGGTCTGGTTTGCTTTTTACTGCATGGCATGGTCGAGATCCGCCCCGCTCGTCTATTTTGGGCGCGATTGTGTTCGATGCCCGGACCAGATCATATCATATCACACTATTAGTTTTATGCCTGTGGATCATATTATCCATGGGTACTGTTTGATTTTTTTTTTTTTTCTTTTTTTCTTAAGATGCGACCCATCCACTAGAAACAGTAAACCTTGGAGAGCATGTATCTAGGGCTGACTTGGACTAGCCAACTACTTATTTCGTAGGCTTCCGGCGCCATGTCCGTCCGAGGGAAATCCACTTGATGCGTTTCTTCTTGAACCTCTGTGACACTCGGTGATTAGGTTTGTTAAATCCTTCTGATTATTATTTTTTTATTACATACAATGGAAAAACACGTGAGCAATAGACGCTGCCTGCAAAGCCGGCGCTCTCGAATCCTCTTGGCTGTCTTCGTTTTTATTGCTATTCTGGCTGTCGTGATCCCTCCGGCGGTTGTGGTGACGCTGCACAAGAAGAACGACATGGGGCCTAAATCCAAGGTCTTTGTGCCTCTCTATGTGTACCCTGCACCGGGAGCCTGGACTCCACTTGAAGATGTGTATGTTTCCACGTTTCCCCTTGATCATCCTCTGGCCAGTTGAATCATCACAAACCAACTAGGGCAAGTGGTAAGCAATTGCAACCAGACAAACAGCTAAACGCCAGCTACAGGATCGCCAAACACCCAGACGTGAACTTCACCGTTGTGATCAATCCAGGGAGCGGACCGGGACCCAACGCCCTGCCTGATGCCAACTACACGCGCGAGATCCCCAAGCTGGGCGCATACGAGAATGTGCGGCTGCTAGGCTATGTGGCGACAACCTATGCGAAGCGCAATATCTCGCTGGTGCGCAGGGACATCGAGACGTATGCGGCGTGGCCAACGAACTCTTCCAACCCGGCTCTAGCTGTTCGGGGGATCTTTTTCGACGAGACCCCTCAGCAGTATGATGAGGATGCCTTGGCGTATCTGCAGGAGTTGACCGATGTTGTGAAAAATACCCCTGGTTTGGGACCGGATCATTACGTACGTTTTCCCTGGGTAATTACCACGGCAAGTGGTAATAGTACTTTTCCTCGCTTACCACCTTCCCATTTGTATTATCTATCAACCTTGCTTTTTCACAGTGCCTGAACCTGTCCAGTTGCTAAGGCTAAAGTGTTAAATAATTGCAGGTCGTTCACAATCCCGGCGCAATCCCCGACTCTCGCTACCTGTCGACAGCAGACTCGACCGTCGTGTTCGAAGCAACGTACGACACCTTTCAGGAACGCCATGGGGCCAACCTGTTCGAGGCGATCCCGGAGAGCAACCGCAGCCAGCTCTGTGCGGTGATCCACTCCGTCCCAGAAAGCGTCGAAGGGTCTGCGCTCCGGGGTCTGGTGAAGCAGGTTCGCAAGGTTGCCGAGGAGATTTTCATCACCCACTTGGATACGGATTACTATGCCAGTTTTGGGCGGCAGTGGCCTGAGTTTGTGGATCTAATGGGAAAATAGGCGGATACTTACCCTGTCCCTGCGCCCTAATGCACTTGGATGACATGATGACATGATTATGATAGATGATGTTGTTGCTGTTGTTGATTGGTATAGTACAGGTACATCACTGACCTTACGTAACTACCAGGTTGTATTTAAAAGCTGTGAATTTCAGCAATACTTACAATACTTACCAAATTATGGTTAAATGCATCCATCCCGCGTAATCACTTAAAATCCTCAACCAAGTAACAAGTACTTATTCCTCTAGGGGTGTAGCGACCCAAATATCGGAGTGAGTGAAACTCCTCCATACTGGTACCCACTTCTTCGTTTTCCATACGAAGTACCGCTAGGTGGATGTAGATGTACCTGTACCTCACCTCGTACAAGGTACCCGTTGGTCCCACCCCCAAGACTGACTACTGCATATGATGCAGGGGTATTTGCATCCATCATTGGCAATCCCCGCCAGACTAAAACATACACAATCAGCGAACGGGGAACAACTGGCCGGCAGGTGGCGCTGATGGGATGGCGCTGCTTGGCATTGGGTGCGTTGGTATTCTTCCCTACCGGGACTCGCCAGTGTATCCTCATCTGGAAGGTAGATATTTATCTGGGTCAGTTGTTGGGCTGTTGACTAAGACATACATATGTACAGAGTCTCGCTGTCCTGTCCATGGTACTCAATTGCCATGCCAGTTGGCTGAATCTTGATATTTATAGAAGATGTTTCGAATTGGGACTTTGGGTTGGAGGCTGAGGGAACCAGGGTGAGGGTACGGAGTACCAAGTACACATTGCAGGAGATAGATCGAATAGATACATAGTAACGGAGTACATAGTACAAGTACGGTGTGATTTCCCCCGATGATGATGGATGATGTGATCTGACTCGTATATTCTTATTATATCATCTCGATTTTCTGTGACATCAATATTTGGAACCATGGGTATGCCAATACGGCGGCTCGTTTCATGAGTTTCGCGCCTTTGTTTCGGAGCAGAACAGGCCCGCTCTTTTTTCGTATCTTCCGTGTTGGCACTTGGCCTTCTCGATTCGGAATTGTACGGAGTATTTGTATAATATTATCGTCCTACTGAGTAATAGTTACTCTGAAGAAGATCCACTGAAATATCAGCTTAATTCTTGCAACCTAGCTCCCGAGAAAACCCCCCATAAATTAATTACTCAGTGGTCTGGTCTGTTCCTGAGGACCAAGACCCAAACCCAGGCCAAAACACAACAAACCGAACCAAAGAACGACGGCGCCATGACAAACTCTATCGACGACCTTGTATTTAGGATTACCGCACCTCATTATTGATCTATCCGATGGCCCACATTATGGTCGGTGGATCGCGGCTGGCGCCAAGTGAACTTTTCCAAACCAGGTTACAGGTTTTTTTTTAGGGCAGGAGTTTGCAGCCGAGCATCAGACTAGCAAACTCAATCATCGTCAATCAGTCAATTCTAGAGTTCTAGAGAAAACTCTGTTGGCTGTTTGGCTTTGCCGCTGACTAATACTAGACTGAGGGAGACTGATCAACTGCTATCAGCTTGGATGGAAAAATGGACTAGAGGAGGTATTCCGTGGCTAGTGTTTCATTCGAGGATAGTCTTCGATCTACGAATCGCGCGGTTGAGCCACCAGAATCAGTTCGCAGCAGGCGTGGTTCGCACGGGCTGTATTCTCCGCTTGTTCATGCAATGGACTCTGAACGGCGGCTATTACTTGATACGGACACGGAGTCGCCAAGATTCAATGCTAGTAGTGGAGCGCTATGTTGAGGGCTTGAGGCCAAGATGCGCGAGAGAGATGTTTACATCCCGTGTATCATGTTGATCGCGTGTATGAAACTGAGACATCGTGATGCAGATGCAGATGCAGATATAATTAGATACTCCAGTACATAGATAGAACGTCAACAGTCAGATCGATGAAACCAACTCCGCCCATGCACTCCATATTCATGCTCATCTCTAGGCCAGACCACTGCTAAGGAGTCGAGGCTAACAATATTCAACCCAATCGTTCAGATTCATATTCTTAATGACAGTCGAAAAATTGGCCGAGCCCGCAAACTCACAGGCCGCGGCCTTCTGGTTGGTCGTCACAGACAGATCATTGTTGGTTTTATCCCCCTTGGGATACTCGATGTGAAACACCGGCTTGCCATTCTGCGGAAACACCGCGTAGGTGTCGCACTCTTTGTACTGCGCACACTGCTCGTTGACACTCCACTGCATGTTTTTGATCACCGACGGGATGATATCCCCCGCGTTCTTCAACCCGACCGACATGTTCCGCGCGTGCGCCGCATTCGCCAGGAAATTCACAAAGCTGATCGAGTCCGCCTGCGTCAGGTCCAGCCCGTTGTCATTGTCGTACCCGTCGACATTGTCCGGGTCCACCCCGTCGCAGCCCTTGTCGCGCGCCATATCCAGCCGGTCAAGCATGATCTGCCGCACGTTTGCCGAGCTGATGTTCAGCCATTTCTCCCCCGGCCAGTCTGCCAGGTCGTTGCCCAGATCCGAGTCCTTGAACTTGTCCTTGTCCGGTCGCCAGTTCTCGTAGCTGCCTGCGGAGAAGTAGCAGATGACTTTGCGGCCGGCTTGTTGTAGTCCTGCGATGGTGGATTGGTTGTTGCTGAACAGGTCGATGTCGTATATCTCCGCGTCGACGGAGGTGTCGTTCAACTGGTGTAGCAGCTCGATCTGCCATTTTGTTCCCACGGCTGGCTGCCACTTCGCCGTCGTGTAGTTGCCTTCTGGCGGTGTGGTGGTCTCCCCGCCTGAGCCTTCTTCACCTTCGCCGCCGCCGCCGCCCAATCCGATGCCGAGTCCGACGCCGAGACCGACTCCCAGGGCGATGATGATGAGGAGCACCAGCGAGAGGACGAACAGCTTCTTCCTGGTTGTCCATGATTTCCAGCCGCCGGCCGACTGGCCTTTTCCAACGGGACTCATCGCCATCGGTGTAGATCAGTATCGCAGATCGTAGATTGTAGATCGGGTACGTAGATAAGTGAAGTGTATGAGATAAGATAGTGGGCGCAACTGTCAATATATGTGCTGTACGGAGTAGGCTGTAGCCTTCGACAGCCGTCAGCCACGTTGATTTGGAATCTCAATCGAGTAAAAGTTACACAGCATCAGAAGAAGCGCTCAACAAGACTCTACAGACTCTTGTCTAGACTTGAGAAAGTCAGCCACAGGGCGATCACAAAGAGTCAACGCCTTGGGCTGTGCCGCTGTGGTGATATGAACAAAGAGACTGAATAATGCGGCAGCCTACGGGAGGCAGGACTAGCCAGATTGGGTGATGGCTGACAGCGTCTAGTACTTCTATTGTTTGACGCTGGCTATTTGTGTTACCAGTAACTCCCAGGTGATCTATCCCTACCTGACCATATTGATTAGTTAATATGACTCTGGAATAACTATCATTCACCTGATCAGATCATCAGATCTGAGTCTATCACCTTTTAACTTTTGAAGCACTTTCCACTCAGCACTCTATAAATATCTACTGTAGCAGTGCAGCAGAGGATCTGCCTTCATTGCAACATTGCCAACTGTCCGACAAGTGAAAGCAAATCAATTCCAGGCCAAGCTGCAAGTCTCAGTCCCAAAACCCCGTGTCAAGAAAGACTTTTCCGCCTATGGAACATGTCCAATCATGCACGGCCAGATAAATCTCAAATATGGGGCGCTTAGCGCCGGACGCTAAAGCTTAGCGTGTAGGATCGTAGTACCTGTAACCCGGTTTTTACTTTGCAAATTCAACCGGTATTATAATACGCAATCATATAATACTGTATTGTATATATACAGTTCGAACTCCAGGTAAGGTACTAACTAGTGAGTATGTCTGACTCGCACCGTGGATAGTCACTGGCCCAAGCAGAAGGCAAGATACCCACGCAATGCCACGTTGTTGACACTGACAGTTGACTAGCGACTCGGATAGGGTCAATGCCATTCAATAGTAGGAAAGTAAAGCAAACACTCTTCCCCATTTGTCCGACGAGAGTCATGAATCATGATGTAAGGTATGCTGTCTATGCTCAAGTCAGCACCGACACACATCCAAACCCAAACAAAAGTCAAGAAAGTAGCAAAGTCAAAGTCGATTACCACTACACTCACTCAACACTGACAAGTACGCAGTACTTGTAGGATAGGATGACCAGTCACATCCCGCCAGCTCACCCACGGTCCATCTGCCCTGCCCTGGCATCCATCCGCCTCCGCATGATGGGCTTGAGCTTGAGCTTAGCGTACCTTACCTCGAGTATCCTCTCCTACCGACACCGCATAGGACAGAGGACAGCATGGTGCAGGGGTACACCGTGTACCGCACTCTAAGCCGATTGTTCAGTGGAGGAGGCTGGGCCACGCCGAAGAAGCAAACAATGTTGCTTGCATGCAGCGTCACTGACTTGACTTGGCTACAGTACAGCCTCACCCACTTTGCACTTTGCAGTCAGCAGTCAGCACTTAGCAGTCTAAGGGTTAGGATGTGATGAGAGGACATTAGATGACATTAGCGAGGACAGCGCATAGTTTGTAGCTTGCACTGCAATGCAGTTTGTAGGTAGTGCGCGGAGAAGACCGATGCTCTGCCTGACTCCGTAGGGGTGAGTCTGGCTGACGCTTACATTCTGAATAGTAAAGTCAGGTCAAAGTCTACGAGTAAGTGTAGACTCGGCTAGATTCAACCAGACGAATATCAAATCAGGCCATTTCACCCGAGCACTCCTTGTCCTTGTCTTTGTCCTCCTCCAAGTAAGGGGTAGTTTGGCAATCCAATTCTCCGGCCGAGACATGTCACCCCGTCGGGATACATGAACCGTTGAGCTCGGAATAAGGGATAGACTATTGAATATTGACTTCGTTTTATCGCCACAGGCATGCGGCCCAGTTGCCTCTCCTCGTCGGCTTTAGATAGGAGACAGGAGTGAGCAAACAGTCGAATAAATATAATATAATATGATACGATGAGTCAATTATGGAGTAGCTGTCACCGACGCCGACGCCGGGTATAGTAAGTCGCCAAGATAGCCATTGTGGATTCTACGATTCAGGTCCAGGGGTCAGGTCCAAGAGACCAGGGGCAAGTCTTGGACTTGCGTGGTGTGACAGCTGCATGGATGCATGGGCTGATATCGCCCCCGTTAGTGGATATATTTAGTTAGAGTTGATTCAGAACTCCCATGTTCCATGGCCGGTGGATCCTGACCGTGGACGTTAGAGAATGATTCAGTTGGTCTCGTCCTGGTCTTGGTCTGGCGGATGATTGGGAATGTCTTATTTTGATTCTTGACATGCTACACAGCTACAGTACAGGTCTTGTTGGGGACAGCGGATTCAATTGACTAACTATGCACTATCATTACGGCATGTAATAAGTATGAGTATAAGTAATGAGTGATGTAGGGAGTGACGCTACACAGCAATAGGAGTGGAAAGGGTAAAGGTAACAGGGGATCCCGACAGCTGCACCCACACGGTCAGGGGATCACTTCCCAACTGCTCGGTGGCATAGCCCTGAGTGCTGGTAGGAGCCACAGGGAAGGTCACTGGAATGGGACGGCTGCAGGTATTGCCCTTGGCCGTCAAGGTCACGGCGGTGATCTTCTTGTTGGAAACGGCGTACGACATGGCATAGCCGCACTGGTCGCGCTGGTACCGCGCAAGGAAGCCGTCGGACATCTATTATAGTTAGTTCATGTATAGAGAAAATATAGAGAAATTGAGACAAAGACATACCTCCTGGTGGGTGAGGGTGACCAAAGGCCAGTCGACCAGACGGACGAATTCCTGAACAATAGTTTCAACCCACGCCTGGAAGATGGAGTACTTGGCCGACACGCCGTTGATCGTAATCGGGTCCACGTTCGAGTTGCGCAGATTGGCCTGGTGGAACATGTATCCATCATGCCACAGGCCAAAGAGATGGCGCATGGTGTCGGCTTTCTCAACGGCCAGCAGGTCGTCAAAGGTGCCGGCGCCGGCGGAGGTATCGATCCACTCCTGCACCGTGCAGGCCGGAGTGTCGCAGTTGTAGTAAATGCGAGTAGCCCAGCGGCCGTTGATCTGCATGCCGGCGAACCCGTCCGACTCAACAGTAGTGAAGTAAGGCCACATGGGGTTCTGCTGGTTCATCAGCACCGGGCGGGTGTTGTCTCCAACACAGTTGCGGATGCCGTTGTCCCACCACGCCCGCAGAGCATCGCCGTTGTGCAGACCGGTGATGGCAGGGGGAATGATGCCGTTGGACGTAAACCACTTGGCCTGGTCCAGGCCGACCTGTTTCAACCAGGCCTGGTTGAAGGAAATCTCCTTGAAGATGTCCGAGTAGGTCGAGTTGTTCTGCTCCTCGTGGGTGAAGGTGTGCGAGATATGCCCAAAAGCGTCGCGGTTGGCCGGCGTGGTCCACCATTTCAGCAGGTCATCCAGCTGGGTGCAGGCAGCAGTCCAGTCGTAGACAGTCGGCTTCGCGGGCCAGAGGTTGGTACCGGTTCCCAAAGGCTTCTTGAATTCCAAAGGAGTGTCAGGGGGAGAGTCGTACTCGATCCCGCCTCCGTTGCAAGCGGCAGCACCCGCATCGGTGGAAGACGACTGCTCAATGTTGCCGTTGCCGTTGTGGCCAACCTCAACAAAGTACGAGCTGCCGGGGTTCATCTTGGCGTTGATGGTCGGAACCCAAGCCGAGATGCCTTTCATGTCATCAACGGTGATGCGGAAGGTGGTTCCATTCGGGTGGTAGATGTCGGTTTCGAGGAACATGTCGTCAATCTGGGTGTTCAGGTTGACCCGGCGGTGTCCAGCGTACAGACCGCGGGTGATCCAGGTAATCCATGCGTGCTGCAGGTAGTTGGAGGTAGCACTCCAGTCCGTGGCAAAGCCAATGAAGAACGCCATCTGCTCGCGGCCGTCAAAGTTGTTGATGACAGCAGCAGTGGTCTTGGTCGAGGTGACTGAGTTGGCAGCGAACTGGGCAATCTCCTTGGTGGAACTCGTGTTGCTGATCGTGGCCGGGTAGTGCCAGAGACCTTCGGTGCTGACAGTGGCGCCAGTCCTCAATCCCGCGGTGGGGAAGTCACTGGTGTCGGTAAACGAGATCAACTGTTCCACGCCGGCGTTGCAGCAACCGCCGTTCACAGCACTAGCACCAAACTTGGGGCCGGGATAGACATCCCACTGCACCATCCGCACGCCATACTCGAGCTGGTAGGCATACAGCTGGTTCCATTGGTCGGTGGTCAAGGCGCTCTGGTAGCCGGAAGTGCCACCGTAGTCGTAGCTCACCTCGGCAGCCACGACGATACCGCCGTAGTTGCCGACATTGCTGGAGTTGAGAGCCGGCAGGGCAACACCCGCCTGGGGCACCAGCAACGTGGTGTACGGGATGCCGTACGCATTGAGCCCCGAGGTGGCCGAACTGGCCGCCGAAGAGTCCTTGGCGATCACAAGGATGTTCGACAAGACCGAGCCATGGCTAATGGGAGTAGCCGAGGGGGTGACCGAGGGGATGATACTCGAACTGAGGCTGAGAGACATGGTGGAGGACCGGCCAACAGAAGAAGAAACGAGAGTAGTTCCGGTGGGTGTCACCGGGGTAGAGGTTAACGAGAGTACAGCAGACGAGGTCGTCAGCCCAACAGTAGATGCTACACTACTGCTCGTTACACTGGTCTGTGATGGAGGAACAGATGTAACGACTGTGGGATTCGAAGTCCAGACACCTGGGGGAGTACTACAGGTTATAAAGCCAAAGTAGCAACCGGCCTGAATCACCCACGAGAAGACCATTGCAGTGGTCAGAGGAACGAAGTGGATGACAGGATGACACGGCAACCAAAGTCAAGCAAATGCAGTTGATCAATTAGAAAATAAACGAGAGACTGGGTGGAGATGATCCTTTAGATTGGACTCGAAGGATCATCGACAAGAGACAAGAGAGACAGAAAGACAGAAAGACGGAGACACAGAGAGTTCGAGTGAAGACGAATCATGTGTGACGATCAAATGCTTTTATGTATGCATGCATGCGACAAGCACAAGCTCACACACACACACATACACCGACAGCAGGCTGAAAAAATCTCCTTTCTTGGTCTGTCAGGGCCATAGCTCCAGCTGACGCAACCGGGGCATGGCATCGTACTTTCTACTCCGTATCTACTCCACCGCAATTGACTCGAGATCTTGGGCGACGGCCGTCGACGACTAGCCGGAAAAGGTCAAGAGAACCGAGCACCAAGTCACTGCTTTTTTGTACAAGTATCCTATCGTGAGTGACTACGAGGCTATGATGTTGGAGCCATGCAACTGTCATTGATGCATCACGTCTCCAACGCAGCGGAAAGTAAGTATCTACCGTGAGTTTTCCAGGTCAGAAAAAGCGAGGAATGGACCCGGACCATTAGCCTAGCGTCCGACAGTGCTGACGAGTGGCAACCGATTGAAGAAGTTTTACACTAGTTCCTTAGCGATGGATCAGTCCAAATATCCCTCTGAGCCCACCCCGGGGTCCAGATGAGCCGCTGGGGGAAATTGGAGGGCCATTGTGCATCTCCACGAGACTAGCGGGAACTGTACGACTCAGATCGCAGCCGAAGGAGGATTATTATTAGCATACCAAGACTAAATCAAGACCAAAAAGAGGGGCTTTGGGTCTTTCATGTCTTTGAGACTTGAGACTCAAAGTGTAGGTACAGGTACTTGTGCTAGACGGGTCGTATTGTTGTTACATACGGTAATGCACCGCGTAATCGTGTATTGCAGAAATTTCATTTCAAAATACAACGATACCAAACAATACACACATACAGACCATACTCCACTTGACCGACTTAGCGTCTTGACCTTGTTTCGCACTTCTGCATCTCATGGATATGAGGAATCCACTTGGGCACTCTCAGTTCCTCAGCCCAGATGACATGGAGAAAAAGGCAAACCAAGGATCGGGTCAATGGACTATTCCAATCAGAAACCCCGATGGTTTCTAGCTTCCTTTTCAATCATGGAGTCATAGGGACGGACTATGGAGTATTTTGGATGTCCTGGAACGCTCGTCGCTTCGGCCTTTAGCATACATAACAATAATAAAAATGACCAACAGGAGAGACAGTCAGCATGCATGTTCTGCTGTAAATCCACTCTGCCAAGCTCGGAGCAAATTGATCCAAGACGGAGGAGACGAAGCTGATGTTTGCTCTTTAAGGAAATCCAGGCTTTTCCGAGATGGCTGCCACGCTGTTGACACCTTCGTTCTGGTCAAACTTCTGTTCCACTCCAGCAGGATTGAAGGATTAGACCCTTAGCCAGTGTGCGTCCCAACCGGGAGTAATATTGTCTATTGTAGTGACTCTAGTGGCCTACAGAGGCTGTTTCATACGTCGGGCCAGAAACCACACACACTCTTCTTAGCGCCATCTTAGCGCAGACAGACAACATCGACGCTATTTTTGTCTTCATCGTTGTGGTCTGCCGAGACAGACGGGCCATGAACTAAGTATCCATTTGGTCTCGTCTAGAAACTTCACTGATTGACTTTGCCGAAAATCCTAAAAAAGTACATTACTTGCTGCGAACTAACTAGATCCTCCGAGGGGAGCCTTATGATCACCCCTCGCCACTGGTTCTGGTTCTGAACTGCCAAATGTTGGGCCATCACCGCTTTTTTGCTTTATGAAGGCACAGTCAAGTGGTAGAGGCTGGTAGATACATGCTGGGTTTGCTTTGACGTTTCGCTTGCCAGCTCTTTGACCGCGTGTTGGTCTGGTCGATCGACCGTCCTATCGTTTCTTTTGCCCCCGTTCGTTCCATCTATACTCCGCTCGTTTTATGCACGAATACTCATCTCGGGTCGATCGATCACTCACGGTGATGGTCTTTTAGAGAGGTTGTATCTCTGTTGGTGTACATTTTTGGGCTCTCAGAGTCTTCTTGTCTCTCGCTGTTCTACCTTCCTCGTTTCCATGTCCGTCTATACTCCTAACTCTAATCTCTAATTGTATCATCATGGATTATATCGTCTGGAATGATCATAATGAGAAGCCTCGTCCCGTGGGATGGAAGCACATGACAGATAACTGGTGGCAATTTGTATGTCTTGTCTCGTTTAGCCTCCTGGTTTACTAACCTAGTATAGGTCCTCATCGGCTTGCTACTGGGTAGCGTAGTACTTGGATGTTCATACCTCCTCTACGCAGGTCTGTCAAGAGCTCGCAAATGGTACAAGGTAAGTATTCTGTCTATTCTTCCAAAGGGCATTGTTGACATTCCCAGTCCCGAGCACAATCAGCAGTTGTGCCCAAAAATGTCTCTGATAGGCTGGACCAACTATCAAGGCAGCAACTGTCCTTGCCCAATGTCCAGTTGGCAAAGAAGCCGTCGTCTTTCGGCGTCTACTTGGGCTCTTTCGCTGCATCCCCAACCAGGGATCAGTTAAGGCTGCTGAGTCAATGGGATCTGTTGATCGTTGACCCCTCGCAGTCCGGTGTAGTCGAGGCCATCTCGCTGGTCGAGAGGAAGCAGTTTCTGGGCCGAGTAGACCTCGGTTCTGGCTCAGTGTCGACCCTGGCGGCCGTCGACCGACTCGAGAGCGCATTGAACAGGTTCAATGGCGCCCCGTTCAGCGGCATCTTACTCGCCAACTGGGAAAGCAGCTTCAACTCAGCCGCCATCAGGAAACTGGCGGAGGCTCTCCGTGCCGCCGGCCTGCCTGTGTATCTGGAGACCGCTCCTCCAGACTTCCTCAAGGACCACAAGACTCTGCAGACCGACGCAATCTCCGGTCTGGTCATCCGCAATGCCTCCATCATGCCTGAAGGCGAGAAGCGCGACTACTTTCAGATGATCAAGATGCAGCCCACTATCAAAGCGTTTGTGTCGGAAGCCTGCATGCGCGACTTTGTGGTCATGGCCTGGGAGACTGTTGATGACAACGCTCAGTTGTCCAATGCGGTCATTCAGCGATCTCTCCAGTGGTGCAACTTCTACAGCGCTATCACCTGGATCGGTCGACAAGCTGCTTTGCAGGATGCTTCACTGAACGTCAAGATTCCCGAACCCCTGTCTGCCTTTAGTTGGTTGAAGGAAGCCGAGATCATGAAAGTTCACGACATCTGGCGCGCCAATTTGAACATCCAAGAGAATGTCGTGGACAGAGACGCATGGAACATTCTGCTGCAATACTTTCCCACTCTGGAGAGCGTGCTCACCTCGTCCGAAAACAAGCCACAGCGCACGGACAGCTCGACGATCTCGGTTCGTGATCCACCAGAATGGGTCGCTCAAGTCAGGTCGCAGGGCAGCCCGCTGTCCATCTCAATGGCAGGCGTGGAGTACAAGGAGTTTGGCTGCTTCCCTTTGGGATCTGAAGCCACCGCCGTTGCCTTTGTCGAGATCCTCAAGTCCCAACAGCGGCTCAAGTCTCTTGGACTGCTTCACCCAGTTCCTTCTGACAAAATCCAAAAACTCGGTGGCCTCCTACGAAGATTCCACGATAAATTCGCACAGTCTCACTGGTCCGACATGCCCAATCTACCCGCTACCATCAAGGAACTCGCCAATTTTGCGTCCCATGACTCCTTGCGTATTCATCTAGGCCTCGATTCCGGTCTGCGCAAGAGCGCTGATGTCCGCTTCTGGGCCGTCTACCAGACCGACGCGGACGGCTTCGAAGTGTTTGCCTCGAAAAACGCTCAAGGGCTAGCAGGCACCGTGCTGCACACGTTCCTCTCCGCGAGAGGTTTCCCCCGTCATGTCTGCTTCGAAGCGGAAGCCGCTTTGGCTGAATGGTCCAAGGACGTCAACGAAGACATCGGACTGCCCCGCCGTCTCATCCAGGATGTGGATGCCTTGAGTCCCGAGGAGCGATTGCTCCTGCTGCAGCACCTTTCGCTGACGGACGCACAGAGTGAGCTTTCAGAGGCTATCTGCAGGTACATCCGCAGGCAACTCATCGATGCACCGTCCCTGGCGCAGCTCAAGGAACTCAACACCGTCTCGTATCTCGACGGATCCCTTCCGCCAGAGGCCTTGATCAAGACCCGCGTCAACTGGTACCGCGACCAGGGCTGCCGCTATCCTTCAACAGCGGCATGTCTTGCCTTGTTCCTGGAGACGGATGCTATCTTCACTCGCATCCTCCGCGAACGCCGCGAGAGTGACCTGGCTCAAATCACAAACGCCCTGTGTCAGCTTGTCCAAAAAGACCAGATCGACGTGTATGCCGATATCATGACGCTCTCCCTCTTTTGCGCAGCCAGAAAAGGTGCCTTTGACGAGATCTACATGGAAGTCACGGATCGCAACCCCCTATTCAACGACCAGTCCGATCAAGCGGCCGCGTTCGCCGAGTCGTTTGCTCTTGGGTCGCGCTGCGAAGCCTATTTTGACCTCTCGCCCAGCGCCTTCGGAAAGTTGCTCTCGGGTCGATTCAGACGATACTACAAGGACCGGGAACTGCCCGACTGGATCAACGGCGCGCCGCAGATGGCGACCTCTTATGCCGGTGCGCAGATCGATGTCAACCCGGACGACAAGCTCAAACCCATGCGTGGGTACCAGCGCTTCACCTTCCTCAGTGTCTTTGCTGTTCCCGCCCTGATCGACATTCTCCTGCTGACCCTGTATGGCCGCGGCTTGTACCTCTCCGGCAAGATGCCCCAAGAGGTCATGAACAGTGCTTCTATCGCGCTGATGATCTCCCTTCTCCTGTCCGGCGCGGCTGGCACCTGGATCGCATGCGGTGGATCCTACTACCTTATTTCCATGGCTTTTTCGGCAACCAACATGTTTGTCTTTATCAGACTGATCGCCTGTTTCGCCTTCACGATCGCGGTCGGACTGGTCGGCTTCGTCATCATGTCTGCCGTCAAAGGCCCAGGTCCTGGCATCGTCTTTTACCTCTACCTCATCGCCTTGACTCTCTACTTCACTATATTTGCCTGCCTCGCCTGTTTCAGCTACCCCGGCTCCAGGTTCCTTTCTGGACGCAAGGCCATCTTCGCCTGCATCCCCGTCCTTTTCATCTCTCCGATCGTGACGAACTGGAGTCATCACGATGTGGTCATTTACCTCATTGTGCTCTACATCTTCATTGGGCTGCTGCTGCTCAGTTTGCGGTCTGTCGCCTCCAAATGGGTCACCTGGTACCAGAACATCCGACGCACAGACGACACCGAGATCCGCAAGTGGTATGTGTCCAAGTATGGCAACAACGACGAAAAGTGCTTCGGCGGCCTGAGCGATCCGGCCGTGCTGAAGCTGTCGAGAGAAGCTCTGTATCGCGATGTGATGGCCGACGTGTCCCGCGGGATCTTCTCCAAGCCGACAAAGGATCAGCTCGTCCTGGAACTGGCCCGAGACTGGGAAGCGACCAACTTTCTTCTCAACTGGTACTGCCGGTATGCCGACGTGCCGCGGCCCATCCCCTTCAGCTCGGGCTGGAACATCCAGACCAAGGTCGGGTTGGATGTGCTCCGCAATTCGCAAAAGGGCCAACGCTTGCACAATGCGTTTATGCACTGGCGCCAGTCAAGCCGGGAGATCGGATGTGGAGTGCTCTACTTTGTCTTGGCTCTGCTCGATAAATGGGTCGAACTCATTACCGGTAGCCCGATGGCTGGTTTGCTACAAATTCCCGATGATGACACGCGGTTTGCTGTCGGTTTCGGCCTCGCGTATTACCTGATCGGCGCCGTCCTCATCGACACCAAGGCTCAAGAGCTTCATGATCTGATCGGTGGCCAGGCCAATCAGGCCGTGGGCACGTCCAAGGATATTCGTCCCTCGCAGAAGCGCGCCGTGAGGTTCAAGAGAAAGGTGTACTGGAGGACATTCTTCAAGTATCTCATGTGGCAGGTATGGAGTCTTGCCTTGTCAACTGCCTTGCTCTGGACGTTCCGGGCATCAGTTGATGCGATGGCGATGTTCTGCGCCTACGTGCTGTCGTACACCGGCCTGCTGTGGTATCAATACACGAAGATCTTCGCTGGTCCCCATGCCCTCAAACCATTGCTTGTCGGTATCGTCGTTGGTCTGCCCGTTGGTATCGTCCTTAAGACCTGTGTGCAGGGTTATTTCAAGAATTACGGGCAGGTCATTGGACTGGGAATAGCCACCTGGACTACCGCTATCCTCACTCTGCTCACTGCGAAAATGGGAATGCCGAAGAAGGTGGACTCGCCAGTCGACCTAGGCAAGACGTTCCACGCCTACACTACCCCGTGGGCGGATCCCGAATGGTCTCAGCAGGAACTGCAAACCTTCTTCGAGAGAATCTCTCTTGTGCCGTCGGACTCGCGACTAAAGCTGGAGCCGGGTATTCATCCTGGAATCGAAGTCAAGTCTCTGCTGCTGTCGCGCAGAGAAGAACCGCGAATCGAGGAGGCTTTCCCAAAGGCCCAAGAACTGATTAACCTAGCGCTCGAAGATTGGGCCAAGGGGGTGATTTCGATCGAGCTCGTTCCCTTGGGCGCCCTTGGTCCCGGAATCCGCGCTTTGAGCTGCCATACCAAGGACCAGCTGAAATTGGTCATTGCTGTCGGACGCGGACTGGACCAGCGCATCGACGTTAGCAGTAACTGCCAGGTCATTGCCGAGACTCTGCTTCATGCAGTATCCGAATCTATGCTGCGGATGCCTCACGAGTACGCGGTGCTTGCCGAGTCGCTCGTCACCGCGGGCGTGACCGAGACCATGGCCCGGCAGCTGCGCGAAGAAGCCAACACGCCCGTCGTCGTACGGTGGGCCAAGAAGGAGCTCCTCCGGCAGCTGTGTCTGGGTTTCGAATGTGACACGCACTGGGAGAAACTGCCCAAGACCATCCGGAAGGCGTTGCTGGATCGTTGTGTCGGCAAGCCTTCGCACTTCTCGGACCGCGACAGGCAATGGCTTCAGGAACATCTCTGCCGCTTTGACACCAGTGATCTCGATGTCCATGTTGCCCGATGCAACCTGGGAGCCGCCACCGCCGTCAGTATTCTTGATTACGCCCACTACGGCACCGGCGAAGAGGCCCTGGGCAAGGATTCCGAGACGCCGCTGTTCATTCCGTACGTGTCCAACAGGCTGCCTGCGGCTCTGGCGTTTATCAGGGATCCTCTCCACAACTTCTGGTACTCGGTTGCGTCCGCCATCAAGTTCATCATCATTGCCTTGATCGCCGATCCGGAATTCCAGAGAGAATTCGACCATGTGATGAAACAACGCGCCCCAATCATCCGGGTGCCGTGCGTGTTTATCCTCAACATGATCTGGTCGTACTCGAAGATCGTGCAGGATGTCGTTCTGTCATTCTTCCTCTTCCACGGTCGTGACAACGTCAAGCGTCTGTGGGACGAGACCAAGGGTATGACCATCAGCATCAAGAAAAGCAGGTTCATGGTCCAGAGTCTCGACGGCACCTTTACCGCCTTCAAGCACGATGATGAAGACGGAGGTTTCAAGGTTTATTACTACAGCGGCGAGCACAAGACCGAACCCGAGGGCACCAAGTCGCTCAAATACGTCAGCACGTACTCTAAGGACATGCTTCTTCTCATCCGGCAAGAGTTCAAGGACGGCAAAGCCATCAACGAGTTCCACTATGACTACCGCGCCCCGAACAAGAAGAGTCTCAAGTTAACCCGCGCCTCCGATACCAGAATCCCCCTGGGCCGGCGTTGCATCCGCGGTGACAGCCATCTACAGAGCGTCCAGTATAACCGCAAGGGTCTCATCGAGGCGGGCTCCTACATGAAAGACGGCAACCTGATCCGGTTCAAGTATCACTACCGGAAGAATCCCCGGTTCGGCGATGAACTACTTCGCGCAGAGTTTGTGCTCTCGCACATCACCTGCACCGTCTCCTGGTGTGCGCCTCCCGTGCGGCATCCCGAGAAGGTCGAGCGCTGGATCCCTCACTCCAAGGTCACCGAGGCGACGTTTGTCCAGGGCGCCGATGTCTACGAGGCTCGCTGGCTGTACGACCACAAGTTCCACCCTACCATCTTCACGACGCTCAACGGGCAGAAGATCCAGACGCCGCCCATGATCGAGCATGACTTTCTCGGCGTCCTGGCCAAACCCAAGTACACCAGCTTTGTGCATGACAACCCTCTCTTCTACTGCGACAGTCTCAGCTCGAACACCATCACCCGCTTCCTGGGCCTCTCCACCAAACGGTTCCCCGTCTCGACCTCGCGGGCCCGCTCTCTGGTCTGGAAGGCGTGGAAGGACCGCGTCGACTTTGACGGCATCATCGTCCGTTGGATGGATGAGCGGCTGCTGCGCAGAGACAAGACGCTGGCCCCGTACTGGCGCAGCCGGGACCGGGGCGACCTGGCTTCGGCGAAGAAGTACCTGGATCTGCGCGCGGACACGGTCATGGCGAGTGCGGACCTCGACGACAACATCTCCAGCTGGACGCCCATGGCGATCAAAGTCAGCGATCTGCTGAACTTTGGTCCTGGCGGAGATGCGGTCGTCAACACCCGGTCCAAGGATTTCGGGTCTGACACGGACAAGTCGCTGCACGTCATGGCGGCGGATACGGGCACCTGGCCGAACGAGGGAGGTGGTGTGTCTGCCTGTCGGCGTGATATGATCAACTCCCTGCGGACGATCAAGTGGCACATGATCTGCGAGTCGGCCAACGACTTTGGCATTCCCAAGCATCAGACGGAGCAGAACGTGCTCTCGTTGAAGATGATTCCCCTCTGGGGGTTGGACTTTTTGACGCCGACGCATGGTCTCTTTAAGAACAAGCTCGACTCGGAGGTGGAGAACGTCACGTCGGCCAACGATATGGATATCAAGATGAACTTTATTCCGATCCTGACGGCGTTGGTCAAGGGTGCTCGCGCCATCGAGCTGTCCAAGGCTGATATCCACCAGGCCACGCGGGCACTGGTCAACCTCAACACGTACTTCCAGGACTCGAGGCACTGGACCCAGGTGTGGAATAGCGATATCGTCAAGGAGAGCTGGCGGGATCTCTGGCTCACGCAGGAGATGCCCAACACGATCCCTTCGGCACAGTGGTTCCACACGGAGCTTCCCACCCTGGGGACGCTCGACGTCGCGCTGGAACTGTGGTACCGCTACCTGTTCATCTTCTCGATTCCGATTCCCGAACAGATCCCCAGCGTGTTCCAGGCCTCGCATCATAGTGTCAGTGCGTCGTACGGCGTCGTCTGCAAGATCAAGCGAAACTGCACCCTGCAGATCTGGGACCACGCGATCAGCTGGCGCGAAACCAACCTCTGCCTCTCGTCTGCCCTGTGCAAGCTGTCGCCGTTTGTTCGAAACGCCCTCCTGGGCTTGATGCGGATCACCTCCGTCATTACCCTCCACCATGCCGACATCATCTCGCCGTGTGCCGATTTCTTCAACCCCGGATGGGAGGTCGAAATCGGTACCTGCCAGGGCACGATCGAGCACCGTAACATCTTCCGCCGCAAGGTCGACCCCGTCGTCAACGGTATCACAGACATGCAGAAGTTCGCTCCCGTCAAGGAGATCAAGTCGCAGCGCCCGACCGTCACCATGCTGTCGCACGTGTGGTACGCCAAAGACATCAAGACCGCCCTCCTGGCCGCCGACATCATCATCAACCAGTGGAAATTCGACGACTACCATCTCGACATCTACGGCGCCATAGACAAGGCCCCGACGTACTCCACCGAGTGCCAGGAGATCATCGCCTCCAAGGGCCTCCGAGGCCGCGTCACCCTCCGCGGCAGCGCCGACCCCATGAAAGTCCTCGAAAACACCTGGCTCTTCCTCAACTCCTCTCTCTCCGAAGGTCTCCCCCTCGCCCTCGGCGAAGCCGCCCTCACCGGCGCGCCCGTCGTCTGCACCGACGTCGGCGCCTCCCTCCGTGTCCTCAGCGACCCAGACGACTTCTCCCGCTTCAGCGCGGTCGTCGCCCCCAACGACGCCCTCGCCCTCGCCCGCGCTCAAATCACCATGCTCGCCCTCCTCGGCGAATGGTCCCAATACGCAGACGACACCGAGCCCGCCCCCGTCCTCACCTCCTCGCCTACCCCCGAAGACGTCGCAAAGATCACCCGCCGCATGTACGAGAAGTCCGAACACCGCCGCAAACTAGGCATGATGACCCGCAACATCGTCCAGAAGTCCTTCTCCGGCGACCGCTACCTCCGCGAACACGAGCAGATGCTCTGGATCGGCAAGGCCGTCAAGACAATGGCTGTTCGCGCCGCTGCTGGTGCCCCCGGCAATGCCCTAGCCGATCCTATCGATATCACCGAAGCGCTCCAGACTGCAGACCCCATCGAGGAAGAAGTCATCACCATTCCGCAGTCCGCCGTGCACTCCTGGCGCTCGTCTGCGGCGTCAGGGATGTCAACCCTCTACTCCACTGTCTCGGGCTACCCCATGCTCCCGCTCACCCGCCCAGCCTCTATCCGCTCGTCGTTCAGTAACTTCTCCGCAGCCACAGACTCAGACTCCTTCATGGGCCTGCCTGGCAACGCATCCCTCCCCGTCTTTGCCCCGCGGCAGACCCTCTCCTTCGACGCTGGAGGAGCAGTTACTCCCACGGGACGGCTCTCGCCATCAGGCCGTCTCTCCCCGGCGTTTAGTCGGCACAGACACTCGCATGCGCGGTCGATCTCCACGCTTGGCCGCGAGCAACTGCGTGGTCTGCAGCGCGAGGAACCGCATCCGTACCGTAATTCGGATGTTAGTTTGCATATGCGGGAGGAGTTTATGCAGTCGAGTATTTTCAAGTCGTTGGACGGAAATGGCAATGGCAATGGCGGTAAAGTCTGACCTGCCTCTCTACACCACTCCTGTGGCTGCAAGCTGCACCACATCTGCATATATCATACCAGCCTAGGCTGTTTATGATGGACTGATTGTATATACATGCATGCATGTTTCCTTACTTACCTTGTTTATCATGTACTGCATGCATTGCATAAATTAATGTTTAAAAGGCGAGGCTGGTTTGCATTTGCATTATGCATGAAAAGAGTTGTTGTTGCATTGTGTTTATAGTTTGCATAGCGTGTTGAATATACATTTTCTTCATTTAATTACTTGCAGACATAAGGATATAGAAATTGTATATACTGTCCTAAGGATACAGCAATGGCAGCGACCGCTTCATACGCTCCCACATTGACTCGTCCGGCACGGGCTTTGCTATCCGGTGCCATTCACCATTGAACGCGTTGACGAGCCAGTCAGAAAGACCTAGTCCGATTAGTATCTGCCACAAAAGAAAGGCGGGGGAGACATACGGTCGTAGACCATAGTATGCGCGTTATGGAAGTAAATACTATGATCCGAGTCCGGGTAGAACTGCAGATCGTAGTTCTCGACATTCGACAAGTCCAGCTTGTCGATTAACACCAGAGTATTCTGGAGATGGACGTTGTCGTCCGACGCGCCGTGTATGACGAGGAAGCGGACGCTCTCGGACAGGGCGGCCATGTCGGTTATACTCGAGTTGTCATACCCACTCGGATTATGCTGCGGGGTGTGCATGTATCGTTCTGTGTAGATTGAGTCTGAGCTAATTAGTATGGTATCAACGAGTAAAGAAGGCGCGGAGGGGAAGGATACCGTAGAACCGCCAGTCCGTGACGGGTGCAACGGCCATTCCGTACTGGAAGGTCTGCCCAGCGTCTTGTTCAAGAGTCTTCAACGTCATGAACCCGCCGAAGCTCCATCCCCAGATCGCCATGCGGGTTTTGTCAACGTATGATTTTGCCGCCCACATCTTTGCAGTGGCGATTTGGTCGTGCGCCTCGTAAAAGCCTAGGTTCCCACGGACGATGCTCCGGGCCTTGCGGCCGATGAAGCCTGTGCCGCGACCGTCGACGGTCACGACGATATAGCCCAGGCTGGAGGCGACGTAGGACTGGAAGTCAACGGTGAACTTGCGGTCCACGGTCTGCGAGCCCGGTCCGCCATACAGATAAAACAGGACGGGGTATTTCTTGGCCGGGTTGAAGTGTGGAGGGCGGCGCTCAACAAGCTGCAGCGTGTAGCCGTCGACGGTGACGTTCTGGTAGATCTCAGTCGGCAGCGCGTACGTCTCTACCATCTTGGTGAGCTGTGGGTTCTCTTCGATTCGGTCTTCGTACGTGATTCCGTCGCCTTGCGTGTTGATGATTGCCTGCCAGGGGATAGAGGGCCCTTTGTACGTGAGAAGCGCGTAGCCTGTGCCGTGTGAAAAGGAGACGTCGTAGTAGCCTGGTTTGGAGGTGTCGGTCAAAGGCTTAAGATTCGACCCATCCAGCTGCACACGGTAGACATGACGCTGGGTGGGTGCTTCCCTCGTGGCGACAAAGTACACCAGCCCCCGTTGCAGATCTACGGCAGCCGGTGCGTCCACCACTTCCCACTCGCCCGATGTGAGCATCACGGCGTTGGGGTTGTCGAGTGGCGCGAAGTATGCAAGGTGGTCGTATCCATTGTACGGCACGGTGTCAATGTACCCGTCGTGCGGTCGTCCATTGTCGGGGTCCGCCGGGATGAAGCGTGTGGATTGCGAAGGCTCGACCCAACCACCGTCAAGACCGGCAACGTCTTCGGATCTGACCAGTTTGCCTGTCCTTGACTTGGTGTCAATCAGATACACCTTGAGAATGTCGCTTTCGCGGTTGGTCGATCTCACGAGGACTTTGCCCTCGGAGGCCCACAAGATCTGGATGATGATGCGGTCATCGTCGGCAAAGTCGTCTGCTACTTCGACCGAGAAGACCTCGTTCTTCTCGACATCGTAGAACTGCAAGTGGACCACTGGGTTCGGGGCACCAGGCTTGGGATATTTGATTTCCCTCACGTCGGGGTAATTCTCCAAACCTGGGAGAGGCTTCTTCCCAGACGGTCGCGAGATGTAGTACTGCACCGGAAACTCAGGCACACTCGTCTCATTTGTTCGGAAGAAAGCAATATACTTGGCGTCATTCGACCACCACGTAGCGCTATTCCCCGATATCACTTCCTCCTCACACACCCAATCGGGAACACCATAGAAAAGGTTCTCCCCGCCATCCTTGGTAATCGTGACAACTCTGTCCGACGACAGTCTCCGCAGGTACAAATTATTGTCCCGAATAAAGACGACCGCATCAGAGGCAGGAGACCAAAGCGCGAGCTGCACTCGACCGTCCGGAGCGCTGGGATCCAGCGGTTGCGCTGTCTGAGAATCCACGTCCAACACCCAATACTTCCCGGTAAACGAGTGTCTCCAGTTCTTCTGCTGCTCGGATATCAACAGCACTTTCTTCAAGTCCGGACTCGGCCAGACGTCGCTGGGAAGAATCGCCTTCCCGTCCACGTGCACGATGGGCTTCCTCATCAGCACCTTGCTCTCCCGACCCGTGTCATTGCCCTTTCGACTCCGGATATCGTCCACCCGGAGATACCCCTGCTTCTCATCCCCGCCCTTCTCAACTAACAGACCGTCTTCATTGTTCGGCCCGGCAACCCACGCGATCGCATGGTATCGAGGATTCCATTGCCCCGTGAGCACCTGCTGCAACGTGACAGGCTTGCCGGAGCTTGTGCTCGTGCCACCCGACGCCGAGTCGGCTCCGTGCGCCTGTAACGCATCCGAAGCAGTCTGGTAGTTCGCTCGCCCCCCTGTTAAAAACAGCACGAAGGCAAGTAGCCAGCCTCCAAGGCAGAGAAGAACTAGGATCCAGAATATCCGCCGTGCGCGACCGCCTCCACTGGCTGCTTTCTTGGACGACGCGAGGAACGGCTCCGATTGTTCGACCTCGCCGTCCTCAAGGTCGCGGTATGGATCTTCGCCGGCTAGTGCCATTGTCCCGTTGGCGTTGGGGAATGGTTTCTGCTCTCCCGGGAAGAGGGATTCGGTGGATAAACTCGAGTCGGTGGAGGTCTGAGATGCAGCGGATACGGATCGGGAGCGAGTCATGGGAGGGACTTCAGAGGTTTCTTCATGGTCGTCGGATGGCCTCATTGTCACGGTGGTTGTAGGACAGTGGCTGCAGTGATTGAGTTACGGTACATGTGACGGGTCACAGCAGATCGACGATAAGCAAGGCTCCTTTAACAAGGTTGTGGTACTCAATGTAAGCCGTCTATAAGAATATCATCAAACCAACAGGTAATTCATCGTCAAGACATGGTCAATTCTTCGTCAGTAGACAAAGAAAGTCAAGGAATGGCAGTAAAGCGGAAATAGTGATGACTGATGGAGTCTGGGGTAAGCTGTTGTTGATGGCGGCAATGCAGATAGAGCCTCTTGGCAGCGCGATCACATCTTATTCACCTTATTGACCTCCTTTTCGGGTATCTCGATCTATTCACGACTTCATGAATACCAACCAAGTTAATTCATCTATCTATTGCTAGAGCTGATTGTGATGTATAGGAACTGCACAAACAGAGTGATTCTAATTAGCAATTTGTTGTATCTCAAATGAAGTCGACTATATTCTACTTGGGCTTCAAGGATCGAGGACATAGGACCTGACGAGAAAAGGACTACGACAAAGACTTCATTAGAGACCAATGGTCTTTAGTTAACGTGCATGGATGCCTGCTTTAAGCGAGAGAATACAGAACGATCAATATCAACCAGTCCAGCCATCCACCTTTAAATAGCAATAAACTCCAAACTCCGTAATACATCTTCCTGAGTATCTGCAAAAACAACATACAAAGTCTGTTCAAATACAAGTCATCCTATTCACCCGAATGAGCAACTTAGCGGTGGATGGATTTAAAGCGAAACTCAGCCGTATCGATGGCCAGCTTGTAGGCCTGACCCTTGATGACGGCCCACGAATCCTCATCGAACATGGGCTGCTCTCTGAGCGTCTCCATAATGCGGCCCACACAGTCGTGGAACCGCTTCATCTCAACATAAGTGAACATACACTGCAATGCAGCCCGTTCCTCGACCGTCGCAAGCTGGTAATCATCCAGCAAAAGAGGCTGCTGGTCCTTGCCCTGGTACGTCCGGACCAGGTGCTGATAGAACGCCCGGCATCTCTGCAGGATCGTTCGGCAGAGGAGATAGAGGAAGGTTCGGACGTAGTCCTTCCCCAAGCACCGGGTGCAGGTGCTCATGGGCTCGAGGGCGTCGAGGGCGCGCCTGATGTAGTCCAGGCCGCACTCCTTGCTCTTCAGCGAGCTGAGCTGTGGTGTGCTGAGGTAGGCGACATCCAGGGAGTTTATGCCCTGTAGAGTGCAGTCGCATGGGAAGAGCTCATCGTCTCCCAGGTCGAGATCGATGGTTGGTGGGGGAGTGGCAGCTCGCTTAATTGCCTTCTTCTGGCAGGAACTCTGAGGAAGTGTCTCCATCTGGGTGAGGATGACCTTCAGACCCCTCATGAAAGCGGTGATGGATTGGCCTTTCATGTTGTTAAGTTGCTGGGACAAGCGAAAGTTTGTGGTTGGTTGTGAAGCGAGTGAAAGTGTTGACTGTTGCGAGTAAAGCGAGCGACTGTGGATTGTCAGAGAGAGTTGAGAGTGAGCAGAAGAGACGAAAGAGTGTTCTCTGCGAGAGCAGCTATATTTAGGAACTATGACTCGTACCAGGAGTGAACCAAGGTAGAGCAGCCGTGTCTGGCTTCAACGAGTCAAAGTGACGACATTCGCAGAGTTCCTGATGATTGCAGCCTGAAGGTTCGGGCAGTATTCAAAGCAAGTACTGGGAGAAGGTCAACTTGTGAGCACAGTCAGAAAGACTATAGCACAAGACAAGTGTCAAGTGTAAATTGTACGCAGCATCACAGTTATATGCATTGGATCGTCTATATTCTGAATCATTTGATTTTTGGGTAAATTACTTATCATAATACACCGCATCTGATTCCATCTGATTTATGCGCCTCCGATCATCTCGATAGAGCGATATCATCAATTCTCATAATCATCTTAACCGTCTCCGCCGCAAGTTCGATGGCGCTGGTGCTCACCAAGAGTGGCTGCAATATGTTCTCCTCCGTAATGTCGTCCCGCACACCGCCGCTACGGATGCTGACACCAGCATTGTGCTGGCCTTGAGCGTGGCGGTGACGCAGCTCCGTGACGACCTTGATCGAATTTAGACCAGCGTTCTCAGCCAATGTGGTTGGAATAACCTCCATGGCATCCGCAAACGCCTTCCAGCATATAGCCTCGGTGCCTGCGAGCTCACGGGCACGCATTGCCAAAGAGTGGGCGACCTCAATTTCAGGTGCACCACCACCGGCAATAAGGGCGCGTTTCTTGACCAAGCAGCGAATGACACAGAGAGCATCGTGCAGAGACCGCTCGGCCTCATCCAGGATCAGGTTGTTGGCACCGCGAGCGACGATAGATACGGTCTGATTGGCAGCGGTGGCGGGTGTCTTGATGCCGGTGATCTTGACGTACCGAGCACCAGAAGCCTGAACCTCCTCGACAAGATCAGCAGTACCCAGTTTGTCCTCAGTGAAGGAGTCAATGTTGGCGACAGGCTTGCAGCCAAGACTCTTGCACAGGAACTCAACCTCATCCCGCTCAATGTCCTTGATGGCAAGAATCTTAAGTCGTGAAAGGAAGTGAAGGGAGAGGTCGTTAACGGCGTCACGGAGGATCGATTTTTGGATGAGAAGGACGTTGCACTTGGTCTTCTGGATCTTCTTGACCATGTTGAGGAGGTACTGGCGTTCTTCCTTGAGGATCTTGTCCATCTGACGGTAGTCGTTGACAACGATCTGGTTTTCCATCTGCAGTTATCCATACGTTAGCAACTTGTATCGTGGTTTGGGGTAGATACGCGTACATCAGGCTTGGGAGGGCTGAGCTGGAACTGAATCAAGCCTATCCGGGCCTTCTCGATTCTTGTAGGCCCGCCGCTGCTCTTGATGACGGGCTGGTTCAACACGAGACCATCAACCATCTCACTGTCCTCAATTGTACCGCCGACCTTCTTCACGATTCGAATGTTTCTCAGATCCACGTTCTCTGCTGTCTTAGGATCGATGACCTTGAGCACCGAATCCACGGCCATAGGGCCAAGAAGGCCAGAGTGCTGCGATACGATCTTGGAGGATAGCGATGTAGAAGCGGCTTGCAGGAGAGTAGCACGGTCCATCAGGTTGATCGGGCGAGACATGTTCTGGAGGATTTCCACCGCAGCAGCAGCGGCTCGCTGGAAAGATTCGGAGATGATGGTGGGATGAATACCCTTGCCCAACAGGCGCTCGGCGGCTCCGAGCAAGCTACCAGCGATCACGACCACGGAGGTTGTTCCATCACCAGCCTCGACATCCTGAGCAGCACTCAGATCGACAAGCATTCTGGCCGCAGGGTGCATCACGCTCATGTCTCTCAGCATCGTGTTTCCGTCGTTAGTCTATGGAGGGGTTAGCGCCGAGCTGCATACTTCGGGGCTGAAATTCGTACGATAATCGTGTTTCCTTTGGGTGTTTGAATCTAATGACAGTTAGCATCGGTCGAGATACATCTTGGGACATGAACATACCATCTTATCCATTCCTCTGGGCCCCAGAGACTGTAAAGCAGTTAGCCCCTCACCCCCGACATATATGGGTCTCGAAAGTGCATACCGTTCTGATGGCATCGGCGACAGCTAGAATCACGTCAGCTATCATGGAATGCAGGTATTAAAGCAATAGTAAATACCTCTAGCAGCCAGAATGTTGGCTGTCCGAACCGCCATAGGCTTCTCCTTATCCTGCGCGAGTATCAGAAAACGGCCCACAAGCAGTATTTGCTCCGTAAAAACCACCCACCTTGAAGGTAGTGCCAGGGACCCCCTGGGAGACTGCGGTCGCCATTTTGAATATGTCCGCGGATAGAGGCACAAAAATAAACTAGAAATTCAACAGGGACACGGGTCGTGATGAGGGGAGGAGATCCAGTGTCTGGAAGCGGCTCTGGGAATTTCTTCGAAGGTGCTTTGGCGGTGGTGATGCTTGGCGGCCACTAGCGTCAGCAGCTGGAACCCGTCGGTGACAGCACCTCAAGCTTGAGAGCTCGATCACATCACGTTCCCAAACAAGCTTCACCTCACACATCCATCTCGTCAGACTCTTTCGACCTCGTCCTTTCATCATAATCCCTATTCCGCTACGACTGTATTGACTTCTTTATTTTTCTCGCCTTCCTTGTCGTCCGGTTCCGCAGTCCAGTCTCACCATGCCTAGCGCCACGGGAGCGAACTGGGAGAAGTACAGGAAGAACTTCGCTGACGACGAAGAGCCGGAGAAGAAGATCACACCTCTCACAGACGAGTATGTTGCGGCTCGAGCAAGCTGGGCTCTGAATGAAATCTATGGGGTATCGGCTGATTATGAGACAGTGACATCCAAGTACTCAAGACATACGGCGCCGCTCCCTACGCGACCGCCCTAAAGAAACTCGAGAAACAGATCAAGGACAAACAAGCGAGCGTAAACGAGAAGATCGGTGTCAAGGTTTGTTAAAAAGAAGGTGCTTCTTTTACCGGATCGTGGCTGACCTTGGACAGGAATCTGACACCGGTCTTGCACCTCCACACCTTTGGGATGTTGCTGCAGATAGGCAACGCATGGCAGAGGAGCAGCCATTGCAGGTGGCTCGCTGTACAAAGATCATTTCCGATGAGAAGGATCCCGATAAGAGCAAATATGTCATCAACGTCAAGCAGATCGCCAAATTTGTCGTGAATCTAGGGGAGAGAGTGAGCCCTACAGATATCGAAGAAGGCATGAGGGTCGGGTAAGTGGCCACGGTTTCTTGCATTTCGGCAATTCTGATTATTTTATAGCGTCGACCGGAATAAGTACCAGATCATGTTACCCCTTCCTCCTAAGATCGACCCTAGCGTGACGATGATGACGGTCGAAGACAAACCCGACGTGACGTACGGCGATGTTGGTGGATGCAAGGAGCAGATTGAGAAGTTGAGAGAAGTCGTCGAAATGCCTTTGCTGTCACCAGAACGATTCGTCAACCTCGGTATCGATCCGCCCAAGGGTGCGCTGCTGTACGGTCCTCCCGGTACCGGCAAGACCCTCTGCGCTCGAGCAGTCGCTAACCGGACGGACGCCACATTCATTCGTGTTATCGGTAGCGAGTTGGTTCAGAAGTACGTTGGTGAAGGTGCACGAATGGTTCGAGAGCTCTTCGAGATGGCCCGGACCAAGAAGGCCTGTATCATCTTCTTTGACGAAATTGACGCGGTCGGTGGTGCTCGTTTTGACGACGGAGCTGGTGGTGACAACGAGGTTCAACGTACTATGCTTGAGTTGATTACACAGCTGGATGGTTTCGATGCCCGTGGTAACATCAAGGTCATGTTTGCAACCAACCGACCGTCGACCTTGGACCCTGCCCTGATGCGTCCTGGTCGTATTGACCGCAAGATCGAATTCTCGCTTCCCGACGTTGAAGGTCGCGCTAACATCCTCCGCATTCATGCCAAGAGTATGTCGGTCGAGAGGGACATTCGGTGGGAGCTGATCTCCCGACTGTGCCCTAATGCTACCGGTGCGGAACTGCGGAGTGTTGCCACAGAAGCTGGCATGTTTGCGATCCGGGCGCGGCGGAAGGTCGCTACAGAGAAGGACTTCTTGGCCGCTGTGGACAAGGTCATCAAGGGCAACCTCAAGTTCAACTCGACGGCGACATACATGCAGTACAATTAGATGACGTCTTCTTTATGCATCTTGGGTTACATTGCATGGCTGGACGGATGTATGATCAGATTTAGCTCGGTGATTCGGTCTATGATGCTCCTTAATATGATCTACTGTGCATAATCGGATGCCAACATACTCACGGCGTACTAGTTGTGTCCTACTAATTCGTCGATTGATTGATATATAGTCACGTGATTTCAATCCGAGGCACAGCCGATTTCCACCCATACTGGGCTGCGAATTCGTTCAACTTTTCAATTTTGTGTAGAGGATAAATTGTATCAGCTCATTGAATACTTGAAGCTCATCTATAACTCACCTCGTCTCATCGTCGTCGTCGGCCACTGACCCCGGAATTCTTCGCTGCTGCCGGCTTAATAGAAGACCGGCCACGTGCCTTGCCCTTTTTGGCCAATGAGAAGCTCCCGGCTGCCCGAGGTGATTACTACTACGCACCATCTGATTGGCTGTCTCGGCCCCGGTCCTCCCCGTCGGCAAGTGAGGGAAGATTATGTCAGCCAACTCTTCCTGTTCTTCTGAGAACCGACGATCCAAAAGTGCAGCTCGTGAATACTACCACCGGCTTCCGACCTTGTCTTGCCTGCTCTCCCCTCCTCCTACCACTACAGCTGCCTTGGTGCTGTTGGTTGTCGTCATCTAATAGCTTCCTTTCAGAGTCATATACAATAGTGTCTTTTTTTCTTTTGATCCGCCCACAATGAGCTCCCTGAGCTTGCGGAGCCTAGC